TTTCTTAACTCACATAATTAAACCTTAAAATCGAGCATTATGTTAACCCCTTTTTATATTAATTTTTGCTTTATTTCAAACACTGCATATATGCGTCATCCTAAATATATGCAATTCTAGAAATAGTTTTGTATATGAATGAAAATAATTTTAATAGTTTGATAGGTATACATAGACTGTATTTAAAAGCAGAATTATCACTTGCTGAAGGGAAAAGTGCTACAATACAAACCATTGGTTTGACCCAACTTTATTTATTTTTTTCTTAACCAAAAATTATAAACAAACTTTCCTTATTCATTGCGCTTTTTTTTAATCTTTTTAATCAAAAAGGACACATTCTGTTCATATTTTTCATTTCTCTTTTTCTATTTTCCTCTATATTATTTCACTTGAAATATCTTGAATACTATTTTACTCAGAAATCATGATAAAAGGCAAAAAAATGAGAAAAAAAAAAATTAAATCGAGAAAATTTTTCGCTTATCTCTTTCTCTTTCTCTTTTCTTTCCTGTTTTCTTCTTTCCGTCCGTTCAATTTCATCGTAGTTTCGTTTATATGCAATTATGTCCTGCTAAAAAGAAGAAAAATAAATTAATTACTATGTTTTTAGATTTATTTTTTGTTTTTGATCAGATCATACCGTATCGTTATTAATTTCTATAACTAGTTGTAGGGACATTTGATTAAGAAAAATGGCTAATTTTTTTTTTCACTTTATTTTTTTTTTATTTTATTTTAAATTAAATTTTTCTATTTAAAGCGAGATTATCTTTGCAAGAACACAAACAAGTATACACAAGTTTATTTCCTTTATAATTCTAATAGTTTTAATAAAAATATTTTTTCAATTAAATTGCATTTGAGTTCATTTAAATAAGAAAAATTTTTTCCACCCATTTAATAATTTCTACTCAGTTTAAAATGCATAAATTTTTTAAAGAAAAAATGAATTTTTTTAAAATTTAAATAATTTTATTTTACTATTTTGGTTTTTCTATATTTAGTAATTCATAAACATTCATAAATACTCTTCTATTTTCATTAAAATTCTATTAACACTTTTTCAAATTTTAAACTCTTCATATAATCTTTCTATATGCATTTTACATATAGTTTACACTATCCTTTTTAAGCTTGGTTTCTCTTACCATTTATAAGACTAGAAAATATTTTCAATTAAAGCAATTACCTTGAGAAATGAATGTTATTACAATAGGATTTAGTTAAAAAAGAATAGAGAGTCCAATCAAATTTCTTACAACAAAATTTTTTCAAATGAATTCAAATGCAAATAGCATATGATATACAGTCGAATCTCCATAAAATTAATATCATAATTTTGTAACAAAATTAGTTCATATTTTAGAGTCAACTCTACCGGGTATAAATTTAAAAAATGAATATGTAGGATGCAAAATAGAACAAAACGGTTCGTATTAAGTACTTCATTTTACTTCATCTTACGCAAATTTTTGTTATAGAAATTTGACTGTATCCTAGAATGGTTATGTCGTAATTAAACTGGTTCTATTTCGATTTTTATCAAATATAAAAGAAAAATATCTTTAAACTTACAACGAATCCAATTTTTTATTTTTAACTTTTTTAATTGATTATTTGTTACAATTGGACACCAATTATCTTCCGGCCGAAAAATCCTCAACCATACCCATTCGGTCTAAATTTTGTAAATTTTATCATTCAATATAATGACAAGAATATATAAAATTTCTTCTCATACAATATAATTGTCTATCAAAGGACACACGATGAGATTTTCAAATTAAGCTTTTACCATACTTAAATCACAAAAAATTCATTGACTTTGACATATTTTTTTATGAAAATTGTAGTGACCGTATACTGAAAAAAAAAATTTCACTCACTAATTCAATATTAGTGAATAGTTAAAGATATATGTATATGACGTATATGATGTACATTGAACTATAAAAAAGTCACTAACATTTTATTATTCAAGATTTTATTTATAAAAATAATATAAAAAAAAAAGAATTGCATTTACGGTCTTTAATTTTTATTATTGATTTTCATTTATTTTTAATTAAATTAATGGTTAATTACTCATACTCGCCTTTTCTTTTTCTATATACATTATAAAATCATTCCCAATACATTTAAAGTATAATGGTTTCCAGATAAGTTTCTGTCTATCTACTCATATGATCTGATTACCCAATAGTATAATAGGTAATATACAATAATATTATAGCATATACAAATATATTATACCAGTATATTATTTGTATTCTCTTTTTAATTTTTATGCTATTATCAGGTTGCTGTATAATATATTTATTTATTTATTCAGGATCTTCATTTTAAAATCTACCCATTTTTTCTATATTTTATACTATAGGATAGATAGAGTTAATACAAGTTCTTATAGCTAAATACAAAAAAAATTTATATAACAGACAAAGAATTTATATCCTTTTTTAGAACTCAAAATTCCATTATATATATATATATACATAAACTCATATATTTAATATAGAATATGCATGTATGCATATCTATCCTGTATATTGTAAATACAATTCGCAGGTATTACACATTCATAGATATTACACATATGCCATAATATCATACATTTGTATTATTCATGAGAAAAAATGTGCATTCACATATGCATTAAGTAGACTAATTTCTTATACACATATGTGTGTTCATATATAAATTGTAATACATACATACATATTATATATTCCAAAACGATTTGTCAATTTATTGAACTATTGATTTATTCATTTTGAATATAAAATTAATTTTCCATTTTGTTATTTTTAAAGGATTAAAAATTTCAAATTCATGTATTTAATAAAATATTTAAGTGGATTTTAGTTGGAAAATGTTAATGTTAAAAAGAATGTTAATGATTAATCCTTAATTGTATTTTTGTAATAACAAGCAAATTCCATTCAGACGCGTTCATATGTATGAAATTGAGCCTAAAATACAGTAATTTTCATATACTAATGAAAATAATTAATTATTTGTGAATTTGTATTTATACAAATAAATTCATATTTAATTTTAATTAATTATGTTGCAAGTTTTCAATTACAATGCCAATATTATTGTCAACTAGCTCATTCATTTCATTTTTATGCTTTATGAACATAGTATTCAAAACTTACCATAAATTCTAGTTTGCATTTGCTTCTAATATTTCGACTCTAATTTATCTAGAACGAACTTTTACTTAAAATTTCATACTTTCAATTCAATCTACATAATTATCATTAAATAAATTATTAAATTATGAAATTATTAAATTTGATATTATAAATTTCTGTTTGATTATCATTGCATTTAAGATTGAATAGGAAGAAAACGACTTCAATAATAATATTAATATTAATGTAATAATTTTCTATATGAAATCCTTAAATTTTAAACAGCATTTTAGTTACTTCATATTCTCTAATTACTTCTCATATTCGTCATATTCTTTTTCTATACATAAACTACCTTAAACTTGCTTTCATTTTGAAATACATGCACACATATCAATATTAATTTTTTTCTTCAAATCTTTTATAAGAAATTTGTAAAAAAAAAAAAAAATTAAAAAGTTTTACTCTTTCGTATAATAGTTATTTAATCTAGTAAATTAATTACATAAATAAAAACAAAAAATTAAAAAATATTTTTATACATATACGAAATAAGTACAACCATACATACATGCACAAATTTATAACTTCTAAAGAATATCCTTTTGCTATAAAACTTTTATTTATTTTTATTATTATTTTACGTATAATCTATACAATTTATTTTAAAATTTTAAAATACTTATTTTGTTTTCAATAATAATCTCTCTCTGCTTTGTCTGTTATACTTTTATTCCATAATACTTTAAAATATTTCTTAAGACCTTCTATATCTACCTTTTGTATCTGAATTATCTCGATTCTTTTAATACTATGTACATTGTACGTGCAATTGCAATTTAAAATTCAATTTTTAATTAAAATTTACCCATTTATATTTTAAATTTTAAGCTTTTTAAGTTTTAATTTGTAACAGAATAGAAAGAAATAGAGAATTAATTTTTTGTAGTTCAAATAATATGAATTTTATCCAATTTAATCTATAATCTAATGGTAATAGATTAAAAAATGAATCGACCCCTCTTTAAAAAAAAAAACCAACACAATCTTCCGAAATTGTTAATTATTTTTTTATCCAATATGTTGTGAGAAAATTTTATTGAAAATATTAGAAGAAGTATTTAAAAGATTCTTCTAAAAATGAGTTAAAAAAATTGAGCATATCCAAATTATTGCCCCCAAAAGTATGCAATATTCAATATTTTTCATAAACAATAAAAATTTCTGAATATTTTGTGTTTTAATTAAAGAAAAAAAATATCAAATACAAAAGCGCTAAGAACTTAAGAAAATTTTAGTACTAATTCAAAAAGTAAAAAGTTACTTTTTTAATTATTTTTGTTTTTGTTTTGAATTTTTGTCGATTTTCAATTTAATTTCATTATATTTGATTTAATTATTAATTCTAATTAATTTTACCTTATTTGTACCCTATCTTAATCATTTCACTTCAATCATTTATATCTGTATACACCTAACTTCATTCATCAAATGCAAACTCAACAAAAAAAACAACACACACATTAATAACACATTAACAATCACACAATGCATTTTTTTGTATTAAAAAACAAATATCCATTCCATTAATGTTAAATTAACATTTACCTAAAAAGAGCATACTGTTCCATAATATGAATAACAAAAAAAAAAAAAAAAATAGAAAATGACTCAATGAGAAACGAAAATCAGAAAAAAAATACTTCATCATAGTGTCATGGAATAGTGTAAAAACTAAACAAGACCGATTAACAATCAAACGATCAGTGTCGCTCGATGTGTTCAATGTGTTGTTGTTTCTTTTTTTTTTTTCATTTTACGTTATATTTGCGTTTGGTGCGATTACAAATGGTACAGACCCTCATGGTACAGGTTGCCAAACGTGGTGCAAGTGTTTTGAAACGAAGGAAATCAAGAAATCGTATGGATGCTAATCAACAACAGCAATCATCCCAAAATCAACAGCAGACAACAACGACATCAAGGACACAAACACCTCCTCCAAATAGTATGATAGCATCTGGTACAAATGTTGGTAACGATGGTAGTGGTAATACTGGTAGTGGTCCAGGAAGTGGTACTGGTACTGGATCCAATCAACAACCAATTAGAAGTGAATCAAATGATGGTGATGTTGTATTTTATGTTGAAGAACCAAGAGCAGGTTAGTAAATAATATTATCTTTAAATTACATTCATATCAAATTCTTATACGCGTATATGCACATATGTATATGTGCATGCTATATGTATATATATATTTAACGTGTATATGTAATATATAAAGTGCAGATAAAATAACGATTTTCCATTAAAGTAAATTTTTATTTACCTTTAAACATTTTATATATTTGCGAGCGTTTTTATAATATCAACATAATATATTTAAGATTTTTATAAGATTTTCTTAAAATACATAACTGATATATTGAGTATATAGATATTGAGTATAATAATGATATATACATACATAGCTTTAAGGAAAGCAGAAACATAAATGCACGCTAAAGAATAATAATAAATTTTATTTTATTTTCTAATAGTTTCGAATTTCATTTAATGCAATTCCTGTTCATTTCCTTTTCTTTTAATGCTTTAATGGAATAATAAATAAATTTTTAAAAATAAAACTTAAAAGAATAATAAATTTTCATTTAATATTAAAGTTTGTATAAGTTCATAATGCTTAAAATATTAGAAAGTTTTTCAAAAAATCAAAATCTTTAAAATAAAAAAAAAACATTATTTTACCAAAGAGTAAACAATTGAAAGGTGTGAAAATCTTTCCAGTTTAACAAAATTTATAAAGAATGAGTCAAAACTTCGTATTTAAGAAAATTGGAAATAATATGGTTGCGACTGCAATAATAAGACTTGTATAAGAATTGATTAAAATAATTAAATTGTGAATTGCAAGAACTAAAAATTAAAGAATGAAAATCATAAACAATTTTATAAATCATTTGCTTTACAAAAGTTTTAATGAATAAATTTTCTAAATGAACATTATTTTCAAGATTCAGACGCACTCATTGAAAACATAATTAATTTCTAATCATTTAACAAATATAACACTATTCATTAAAACAAGTTTCAGAATCAAATTTTCGAAATTAAAAATTTAATATAGAAAAATTATCGTATAATACTGTTCTCAATTAATTTCAGGAACACCAAATCGAGTTCGAAAAAATGAACAAATTACACGTGCCCCATTTGTTAGTCAAAATAGTTCTGTAACAGAAGCACCAAGTGATGAAGTTGAACCAGAACAAGAGCAAGATGAAGATCCGGAACCGGCTAGAGTAACTACGTAAGAATAAATAAAAATTTTTTTTTTTTAATTAAATTTTGAATTAAAAAATTTAGTTTATTAAATTGAGTAGATACGTTGAGAATTCGGTGATCTATATCTACAAAATATTTAAATATAGCATGTATTGCATTCACTGAATCCTGCAAGGGTTTAAATTTTTGAATTCAGAATGCTAACAAATTTAACCATTATTCTTCATTCGAACACAAATAAAAAAATTTTATCAGATCATATAAAAATTTTGATATTTTTTATTTCTTTTCCAATATTTTAGTTTAACAGAAGCTCATCGTAATGCAATTAGAGCGATAAGAAAAATTAAATATTTTGTAGCGAGAAGAAAATTTCAGCAAGCTAGAAAACCGTATGATGTACGTGATGTTATAGAACAATATTCTCAAGGACATTTAAATATGATGGTTAGAATAAAGGTAGGTAAAAATTGAAAAAAAAAATGGAAAGGTAAAAAAATTTGTGTACTTTTTTTTTACATAACCATAATCAACAAATATTTAGGTAAAATGCGCCTCCCTTTTTAACAAAAATATTTCTGTTATCTCCGAAAAAAAAAAATGGAATTCCATAATGAAAAATTGTAAATGAGAAAATATTAAAAAAAAAATTTTTTTTCAAATCATTTGTAATTTTCAATACAAAATTTATATGAGTTCTATTGGTTCTATTTAAACGACTCAATACTTGTATAACATTTTATTCTCTCATAGAAAATACTATGATATCCGTTATCTCTATTACTTTTGAACAAAGCTCAATATCCTTAAATATACTAATATAGGTCTTATAAAATGCTATTACATTTTGTTAAAGAATTTTTCAATTAAATTTTTGGAACTTTTGTATTGGGAATACCTAATGAGACCGAAGTAAACAAAAAATTTAATGTTATGGAAACAAAATTTTTTGAATGAATTCATGATAAAGTTCATTATTTGCGATCAACATAAACCATATTCGGAATATTTAATCTTTTATAAAAGAAATCTTTAATAATGAAATTAAATTTTGTCTGTACATTTTGTTAATTGATCATAGAAAATCATAAGATAAAGCAACAATTGTTTTATTCACTCAACAAATCTTGTACAGATATTATCAAGCTTCTTTTAATTCAAATACAATTTGCTTAATATAAATTTAATTTAATAAAAATTAATTTTTTTTCTTAATTTAATTTTAGGAATTACAACGACGTTTAGATCAAACATTAGGTAAACCAGGTAGTTATTATGCTGGTATCGATAGAGTAGGTAATGTTAAACCAATGACTGTTGGTGCACGATTATATCGTGTTGAACAACAATTATTTAATATGGAAAAGAAATTAGATCATATGATGCATGCAATAAATAGTTTAACTGTAAGAGCATTATCGAATGCAGCAAGTACTACAAATTTATCTGGTTACGGTCAATTGCAAGCATATCAAACACAACCAAATCAATTAGTTTCAGCATCATCAACAGTAACACTTGCTGCACATCAAATTGCACCTGCAGCAACAACAAATACAATAGGTAGTATTATATCACCAATACAAAGTGGTAATATTAATAACAATAGTGGAATTGGAACTAGTACTATTAGTAATGAACAAAAATTTTTAAATGATATACAAAATAATATAAGCACAACAATACCTGGTAATAATTTAAAAAATAATTTAATAAATGATAGTGATCCATTAAGTGGGACAATTATAGTTACGGGAATATCATCATCAATACCATCATCATCATCAGTAGTTACAACAGGTACAGCATCAACAACAATAAATAATGATAAATCTGGTAGCCGTTTATCATCATTACCATTATCAAGTACTGAAATATCAACGTCTCCACTACTACAACAACAGCAACAACAACAAGCAATTGCAACAGCAGCAGTAGCAAATGTAACACAAAAAATTTTAGAAGATGATGTGTAGGATTTATGTTCCCTTCCCCTACCTCCCAAACGTCAGTCAAATTCACATACTGAAGTTTTATTGTAGTAATTATTTTATGTTATACTTTTAAGTATAATTTAGTTAACATATCGTTTATTGTTATTTTTATACAAAATAATTTTAATTTTTAATATAACATTATTAAAATATAAAAGCTCAATATGTTAGTTGAAATTAAAATTTTTACAAATTATTTCTTTTAAGAAGTTTTTTTTTACGATTGCAACATTCTACTACATTAAAATACTTAATTTTTTTATTCATTTTAATTCTGACATTATAAACTACAAACAGTAAATTCATGTAAATTACAATAAACTATATGCTATTGTCATGATTACCAACTCTTTTGTTATAATTTCAATTGCCACCTACTCAAAAATTATCAAAAATACAAATATCATAAAACACGGAAAAATTTTACATAATCATTAAGCGAAATGAGCTGATAACGCTCAATATATAATTTATAGATTTTATTTAGTTAAATGAAAAAAAAGCACAGAAAAAATAAATTTATTACAATTAATTAAATAAAAATTCAATTTAGTTTTTTAATGCCTGTAAATTTAAACAAATATTCTTCCATTTTAAATATACAAAATTAATGTATAAATTTATATACAATATGTAAATTGCACCGAAATATTATTATCAACCATATTATTATGTTAAATATATAATATAGGTACGAATATTAAATTTAAAAAAAAAAAACGACATTTTAAATAAGCAATAAACTCATTTTACTTAGTATAAATCTACGAAAATAGTAAATTTTTACTATAAAAAAATAATATTTGAAAAACTCTTCGTCAACAACGATTTACTATGTCGCTCTATAATTTAGAAACTATTTTTTAACTATTGATATATAATATTTAGAATGCAATAATTGAATGAAAACTAATTGATAATTAACTACATTTATAATAAAATATTTATTTTACAAAATTTATTTTTTGTAAAAAAAAAAAAATTCAAGTAAAAGGGCAATACTTGTATATTATTTTTAACAATAATTATAAAAAATATGCACAGTAACAAAATTTAAACTCTATCAGAATATTCATAATCTTTTGTAATCCTTCTTTTGCTAAATTAATAAAAATTAATTTTAATTCTGGATATTCTAAAGTAAAATTAGAAAATACACAATACGTTCATCATAAATTTTCTAATTCTAATTCATTTCTTATCAAAATAACGCCTTTTCAAAGCATGTATTTTTTTTTTAAATTAATCTTACGAATTATTTTAAATAAAACATTAATAAAAAAAACTCATGATACAAATTTGTTTGTTTGTTATACAAAATATCTGTAAATCATTAAAAAATAATTTATCAATAATTTTTAATATTATTTGTTGTTTTACAGAATCATCTACCTAATGTTTTCATTTAATATAATATTTAATAGCATTTTGTTAACTTCTTAAAATCATTTTCTTTTTTATTTGATTTTAAGTAGATAAAATACATTATTTTTATTATTATAAGTAATGTAAATTAATTTGAATTAGACTAAAATTATATTAAAAAATTTTTATTTTTTTTAAGCAATAATTTATAAATATAATATAAACAGAAAATCGAATCGGTATACAATTTGATTAGGGGAAGGGAATACTTTAAATAAAAATAAATATACTTTCTATGTGTATTAATACAAAAACTAAATGAAAAAATGTGAAATAATATTAAAATTACAATTATTATTAAAATATATAACAAATTTCAATTCAATTTCAGCTGAATATATTACATAAGATTTGAAACAAACAATTTTTAATTAATTATCAATTAAAATAAAATGATTCTAATGAACTTGTATACTCAAAATTTCGGGTAAATTTCATATTCAAAATTTTTATTTAAAATTTATTTTTTATTTTAAATTATTGCCTCTCTTAAAACAGCATAAAAAAAATAGCAATTCGATATTTGCTTTTATAATATAAAAAATTAATAAAGAAAAAATTTACTTAAATATGCAATTGAATAATATTTGAATAAAAAAATTTAAAATTGATTGTTTCAAATACACAAGCAACTCAAATTTTATTTTTACTTTAAAATACTCAAATATTTATTTCGCTTCTTCTTTTTATAATTTTAAATATTTTTTTTTTATTTTCGTACTAATAAAAAATAAATTTAGAATAAAAACTAAAACAGAAATTTGCTATGCAAATCTTACTTTCGATTTAATATTAAAATTATAAAAAATAACATAAAAAAAATTGTAAAATAAAAAAAAAAAATTTTTTCTAATAATTTTTCTGCAAGCTGTGAACTTTTTTGTAAGCTTTATATATAATTATAAAATTATATATTAAAAACAAAAATTATAAAATAAAAATTTATAATGTAAATTATAATCATTATTCATTCATATAAAAATATGATGAATATTACAATGTATTTTAAGTCTTAAAAATATTATAAAAGAAAAAAAAAATTTAAATACATTTTTAATCATTTCAGCTTTGAAAAACTATAAAAGTAAATAAATAAATAAATTTTAAAATACATAAACAAGTTGTATATATAGACACACTTTATATATTAACGATAATGTAAATTTATATATAATAAATAATATATTGGAATGATGTACGGTTTCATCATTACAACATTAAAAATTAAAAAACAAAAATCAATTAAATTTTTCTATTATTCTCTACTTATTTTATTAAAATATTATTTTTCGAATTCCATATTAAATACATGTTATAGCAATAAAATAATTAAATCTTTTATAATTTCTTATTATGTGCAAAAATATTTTATTTTTAGTTAAGGAATTTACGATCAAATGTTTATAGTAACAGAATATATTATGTTTGCTAAATTCTTTTAAAATAACAATCAATATCAAATTATATTATGATATTTAAATAAAATTATCGAATTTTCTATATTTTATAATTTATTAATATGTTGAAATTGGTTTAATGTTCCTCAATAAATTTTAGAATTATTATTAGCTCATGCTTTTTCCAAAATATTAAATCTCTTTGTAATTCTATCCAAATTAGAAAATTTGCATTTTTATTGTAAATGTGCATGAATTTTATCCGTATCTTTCGAATATTAAATCCTAATTTCGAACTCAATTTATCCTTGATAACTCGTTTCCTCAATTTAGACAGGTTTCCCCTAAAAACACAAAAATATATTCTTAATTTATTTACAAAATCTAACAAAAATATATATAGGACGATAATATATCATGTTATATACCGCAAATTCTTTAACGTCAAAATTTTGATTTTAGTCTGCAAACTGTCTGAAACTAAAACTTTTACGGACAGAAATCTAGTAAACTTTTTACCCGTAATTGACTTTGAATTTTGATCATCCGTAAAAGTCAAAACAAAAAAAAATTTTTTTTTAGATTTAAAATAATTTTATACTTACATATTAAAAATTAACAATAAAAATATTTTTTATATTATTTTTAACGTAATGATAGTCACTCAACACATCAAATTTATTTACTGAATTACTACGTCAGACTGTCTGCATGTAAAAAAAAAAATCTACAATTTTGACGCTTAATTGACTTTTTTTAAACGTTTAAGAATTTAAACTTTGACTGAGAGTAAAAACCTAGTAGAGTATCCGTAAACTCAGACAACTCAGATTTTGTAAAATTTGACGTTTAAGAATTTACCAATAATGTGGAAAAATTTTATACTCATATATAATAAAACGCTGTAATCGCACTCATATAATACATAAATTACAAATTGTTAACTAGTTTTTAATTTAAATATTAATTTATTATTATGTGTTTTCTTAAAAATATGTTTTATATTAAGTTCTTCTTATTTTTATAATCAAAAAATATAATTTTAAAAGAATTATTTTAAAAGAATGTGAATTGAACGACTTTCTATATTTCGAGATGGTTTTAAATTGCATAAAATACGACACATTTGGTAACTTAATTACAATTTCCATTTTATTAGATCATACGTGAAACTATTTATGATCTTATTGGAAAATTAATAAACTACGAAAAATATTATAATTACTATTTTCAATTTGAAATTTTATTTGATTAATACCCGTACAATACAACTCTTAAAACTGAAACCATTTAAAAACTTCAAAACGCCTTTATTTCTTTTTTATATATAAACATATAATTGTAGTTTTAAAAAAAATTGTCATTATAGATTTTTAGTATGTGTTAAAATTTAAAATAAAATATATAGGTTTAGTTGTACAAGAAAATCTAAGGTTAAGTGGAACAAAAATAGGACAAAACAAAAAAAAAATTAAATTGATAAACGGAAATAAAAGTATAGGAATAAAATATAGAAAGCCACAATTTAAATTTTTAAATAAAAATAAATAAATATATTATTGTAAAAAAAAACAAAAAGTTTAATAATATTCTTAATATAAGAATTATGTAATATATTCCAAAAAAAAATTTAAAACTCAAATATTTAATAATTTCAAAAAAACAAAACATAAACTAAAGAAGCAAATTCATAAAATGTACATAAAAAATATTATTAAATAATTTAATTATAATTAATATAGAATTATAAATAGTGTAGAAATATATTCCGAATGCCTTTAACATTTTAAAATACTTAATTAATTTAATCAGAGCTGTATTCTTTTGATTAAAACAAAGATGTTTAATAAAACAAAAAATAAAATTTATTTTTTTAATGAAGTAATTTAAAATTAGAAGATTACAATTAATTTGATCAATTATTATATTCAAATTCTAATGTAATATTTAATTTAATCATCAATTTCAAAAATAAATTATAAAAATAAGTTTGATAAAAGTAAAAATAATTCGAATCAAAATTACAAAATTGCAATTCAGTTTTCTCAAACATTACTTGCAAATACAAAACTATATTTTGAAACATTAATAATTTTAAAACATTATTGATTTTACATAAAATTTTATTTTTAAGTCAGAAAAGAGTAAATTAAATTGTAAGAAAGGTTAACTTGGCGTATAAGTTTAGTTGAAATTTTATTTTTCGCTTAGATCACAAACAAATTATTTTAATTCAAAAAATTCAATTTCATATTTTGTTAAATTACATTTAAAGGAATTGATTAACCCGAGTATAGTTTAAAATTTTTACAATTTATAAATACATATATTAAAAATACATATATTTTTAGGAATTAGGAATAATTTTGTATTTTGTAAAATTATACAATAAGTAATTTAAGAAAACTGGAAAAACAATAAAAAATTATAAAAAAAATGCAAACTTATTTCTTAACTTTCCTAAATATTCATAAGATATTCACATGATAATATTTTGCTTTATTTAAAAATTTTAAAATATTTAAAAAAAGCATTAATTAATTATTACTTCATAGGAAAATAAATTATTTTTTTAAAAATTTTGAGCCCAACATCTTTGTTTTATCATAAGTCAATATAGCACTGTGTGCCTATATTCTTTAACAAAGAAAAACAAAACAAAAATTTAAAAAAAAAATACACAAAAACTATTTTATTTATTAAATTTAATTCCCGAAACCACAACTAAAAATAGAACTCGTACCACCAAAAAAATTAAATGTTTTAACAAATTATATAAAATATATTTTTTTTTTTACCACAAATCACAAAAATTTTTGAAAAATAAAATAAAAACTAATAATAATGACATGATATAAAATATAGCAATAAAAATATACCTTTTTATTAAATAAAAATAAAAATTGTATAATATTAAAAATGAAAAATTCACAAAAAACCCAATATGTTTCAGCTTTATACAATCAAGGAAACAAAAAAAATAGAAATCCAATAAACAATGAAATGGTATAAAACAAAATGGATCAAATAATTCTAAAAACAAAAATAATAAACTAACTTTTTAATCTTCAATATTATCAAAGTAAAAAAAAAAACAAAAATTTTAAAATTTTTAAAATATCATAAAAATTATTGTAAAAATATCAAATAAGTAAAAATCATATAAAAAAACAAATGTAAATTAATATAACAAAAAAAAAATGATACATACTCAATAATATTAATTTACTTATTTCTTAAAATCAATGTACATATAATAAATAGTGGAGTGAAATATTTATTGAAATGTGATAAATAGAAAATGAATTGCATATTAAATAAATAAAAAAGCATAATTTGTCAATAGACACCACTTAAAAACTTCTGACCCTAGCTAGAGCAAAGTTTTATTTTATTTTTTGTAAGTGTTTATATTATTTTGGGCAAAAAATAATATTACAAAAAAAAAAATAAATAACAAAATAATATACGAAAACCCTAATAAATGTATATCTTTTTTCCTAATGTCCTCTAGCTTTATTGTAAGTTTTATCATGGAAAACAAATTCTTAAATGAAATACGAATTAGTTTCAATCATTGGACTTTTAAATGAAACACAAATTGTTTCACAAATTAACGTTAAAAAATTTATGAAAGGTGAAAAATATTTTAAATAATTATATGTATTTATTAAACAAAAAAAACAAAGTAGCAAATCTTTGTTTGCTGACTATTCCATTAACTTTTGGATTGTTTTATAAAAAATAGAAAAAAAAACTCTTAAAATCTCAATAATTTCATAAATAGTATTCTAATTACATATGAAATTTCATTCCAAATAAAATGAAATAAAGAATATAATAATTTTTTATATGATAAATAAAAACAAAAAGAAAACTATTAAAAATTTTCGTTTATCACATTTCATTTTACATTTTAATTTAAAGAGAAATTGATTAATAATTAAAAGTATTTTACAATTAAAATTACATATTATATGTACATATACATATATTTTTTTTTAAATAAAAATGAAAAATTAAATTATTGTTATACATAATGAAAAAGACAGTATCAACCTGTGAATATAAAGAAATTTCTTAAATGAAAAATGTCATGGAATAAAGTTTTAATATATATATATATATAAAATAAAATCTTAAAGAATTTTATGTGCAATGAAAAAAAAAAAATTCATAGTAAAAATTGTGCAATTAATTGTAAAAATAATTGAAAATTGCACATAATGTAATTAACATAATAATAATATAATCAATTTATTTAAAAATCCATTAAAATATTGATGTATAGTTATTAAAATAATAAAAGATTTTAAATTTTTGTTTCTTCAAATCCTTTAAAATAAAATTAATATTTTGTTTTAAATAAAAAAAAAAATGAAAATTAATATAATTTCATGTTCACTTAACTTATTGTTTAAAATTAAATAATTTTTTTTGTAATATTATATTATTTATTAACTTATTTATTTAAACAATACTCAATAATTGGGAAGAAACAACAAAAAAGAAAATTTCATTATAATTATAATTGTCTTTAAGCTGAATCATGGTTTGCTATTTTTAAATTTAAAAAAAAAAATAATATTTTATACAAAATTTAGCACTTCACGTATTTTCTTTTTCTTGCAATTATGTTTTTTTAATTTTTTTCATTTATATAATAAATTTTATATAAATGAATATTATATAATTTCATTTATATAATAAATTTATATAAAAAATTAATAATGTTAATTTTAAAATGTAAATAATTTGTACAGAAATATTTTAATATAAAAAATTCATACCACATAATTATATTTAGGTAAACACAAAAATCTTAATAGAATAATAATTACATAAATTCATAATTTTATAATTATATACATATATATTCACAAAATTATTTTCATTTTTATTTTCATGCCTCTAATAAATTATGGTAAAGCAAAAAAAAAAAATCCATTTTAAAGCAATTTTATAACTATAGATTATTTAATGTAAATTAAAGAAAAAAATTTTTATATATAAATTAATAAAATTAATTTATTATAATAAATATATACATATATTATATTCTTTTCTATTAATTTTCATTTTAAATTAAAAGCAATTTAAATGTGGTGTATTTAATATTTAAAATATATTTGTAAAATATAATACAAACATTAGGAAAATAAGATTTAAAATTTTATTCAATTTTTTTTTAATATTATTAAATTTAAAATTAAAGCTATATTTAATATAATATATATAATTTTAAAAAAATTATCTATATTTATAAGTGCATATGTAATGTAAATTATAATGGTATATTTGTTTATAAAATAGCTTTTAATCTGCGATAATAATTTTACACTAAAATAATAAAAATGATAGTGTGCTTTTAAATTGACAAACAAAAAAAAAAATTTAAAAAGAAAAAAAAATATAATATAAAATCGCTTAAAATAATATTATAAGAATTTTTTTCATTATCTTAAATATAGTAAAAAATTTAATTGAATTATTTAAATAAATTGTGAAACTTAATTAAGAATTTGTAGAATTTTCATATTATTAATTTAATAATGAATTAATTTTATGCAAAACAAAAAAAATACAAATAGAAACAACGCTTGTAAATTATGTAAAAAAAAAACAATTGTATTAAAAAGAAAGAAAACAAACAAACAAAAAAAAAACTATTTTAAAAACTTTAAATTTTTAGTAATTTTATTAATTAAATAAAATATACTAAAGAGGAAAAATAAATTATATACTTAAATATTATGTAATATATAATATATTACTTATATGTACATAATTATTTACATATATATGTATATAGAGATTTACATTTTAAAATATCCTTCTTGTGCCTCTTTTCAAATTCACACTAATTAATAATAAAATATTATATAAAAAACTAAAATAAATAATATTATAAAATTGTATGTATGTATATACAGCCATATATACAAATCTTATTGTATATTTATTTCTACGAATTGCACACCTGTATATATGGGCATGTATACATATTAATGAATACTAAATATTATATGAACATATTATAATATACTCGTATATAATAAATAAATACAATAATATAAATTGAAGCTATAATATATATACATAAGAAATATAACACACAATCTTTAATAAAACTAGAAACTTATGTTTGAAACTTTTAAATTAAAAGAGAAAAAAAAAACACAAAAAAAAAATAATTACAAAAAATAAAACCAAAGTTCTTTTAAAAAATTTTGTGAAACACTAATTTATTGATTACTTAATTAAATAAAAATAAACAAAGTTTTAATTCTATATTAAATTTAAAATATTGTTTTCTTTTATTAAATAATATGCGGAATCGAAACAAATGATTAATTATATTTATCATTATTTATTGTAGTTGTGTTAAGGATCCCAAATTTTTTAAGGCAAAAAAATTTTCTTGTCCTGATAAAGTCCGAATGGTCACTTAATTTTTGTAAAGACTATATATGCCTTTTATAGTTATATTTAAGTTTTATACATTAGTTCCTAAATTACTATGAAAACATTTGTTTTAAATTTACTTTGAAACTTCAATTATTCTAATCATTCTTTATGAGAACTACTCTTTTAACTCATAAATATTAAAATATAGATAAAAGAAATGACTTTTTACAAAATAAAATGAACATCACGAATTTAATAAGTTAAAATTATTATTTTATTGGTAGTGCATATAATTGTTTGTGTAAATATAAACATATCTGTGTAAATAAGCATATTTCTAAAAATTTCAAAAAATAAAATAAATAATATTTTTATCTTGAATGAATGTTCGTTAAAATTTATCCATGCTAGGAGTATGGATTCCATTTGTTGAAATATCTTCAATATATTGCTTATTTTTAAATTCATCGCTATAGATTACTATATTGGAGGCATTGTTTTCGAAAGTGCATTCATCATTCCAAAGAATATTAGAGCTAAAACAATTTAATTGTATTTAAAAATAAAAACATACTATAGATAATTATTAAGGTTTTATTTTAATACTCACTTCAATGTTTTATTGAAATCTGTAATAATTACATGCTTTTCTTTTATACTTGTATTCTGAGTTCCACATACAATGCCTGCTATCTTAGAATTTGAAATTTTAAGATTTTCACATATAAGTTTATTTTTGTGAACAATCTCTATTGCTTTACCACAACCATTTATAATCGTGTTGTGTAAATTGACAGAAGCATCTTCAGTTATTCTAATGCCAATTGCAAAATTTTCTATGAAACATCTTTTAACAATCAAACTTGAATTACCAGATACACATATACCCTGTTTGGTACTTGAGTTTTCATCTCCAATTATATGACAATCAATTATATTAACATTTCCGTTTTTTATAACAATAGCCGTTCGGACCTTCCCACAATATAAAGTTAAATTTTTCAAAGTAAAGTCACCATCAATCAAAAATAAAATTCTTTCATTTTCCAAAGAATTTATTATCGTTTTCTCTGTTTCAAATATTCCACTTAACATTCCTTTATCTGGCAAATTTGTAATAAATTTTGTAACACTATGATTTCCGACATCTAATAATATCTGATCATTCGTTTGTGAAATTTGTAATGCTTCCTGTAAATAAGAACCGCATAATGTATATACCCACTTTATTAAGACATATTTTAGCGTTTAAAGAGTGAAAAGCGATTAAAGTATATTTTGTCAGAAATAGTTGAATAGAATAAGTATAACTATTATCCAGTGTTTAAAATACTACTTTTTATATTTAAGTATAGAGAGCTACATATTGCAATGGTGATATCATATTGTAATACAATAATAATAATATATACAAAACCTGTAAGTTAGGGCAAATTCGGATTAAGGACTTATTCTCAATACAAGTTTTTGAAGTTTCCAAAAATGATTTTAAGTTCTCAAGTGTACATGGCTTAATGACCATTAAACTAAAGGAATTTTCACGAATATCATTATTTACGCCACGTTCCTTTAATTCTATTTCTTCATATACTTTTCTCATATGAGGATTTTCCAATATGTCCATTTCGTTTTTTATTAATTTCAATCTCAAATGCAACTGTAACAAATCCGTTACATTTTCCTTTGGCACACTTTCTTCCAGTTCATCGTCGTCACTTATATTCATTTCCAAACACTGTCTTTTTTCCTGCAAATATTTAGCTTCACATAGCAAGCTTTTGATATGGTTAGCTACTGAACACTTAATGATTTTTTTTTGCAAGTCATAATAGAATTGTAAGCGAGATTCCAAATGTTTTTTTACCCAATCAAGGTCATCGTCATCATCATGATCCCACGGCATCCATATATTTTTATAGAAAAATCTTAGATTATCAATAATTTCAGCAGTTTTTTCTGTATTTAAGGCTGTGTTTTCTTGCTGTATTGTTACATATAAATCTTCCAATTTAACTTCTTGTGTTTCAGGTATATGAACACTGTCCTCTTCAACCGCTTCAATACTGAAAACAGCCTTAAGTTCTTCAAAAATAACATGATCTACTGTACCCATAACAAAGGTTGGGTAAGGAATTTTTAAACTTTCACAAATAACTCTTGGAACTTTCCATATAGCTTGCCAACCTTTTACGAGATACAGAAGCTTTAAATTGACAAAAATTTCTTTGAATTTATTATACTCACCACCAGGCTCTATTTGAAGTTGAAGAAAATATGACCATTCATCTCGAACTTGTGAAGCAGGCACTAACTTTTCACTCCATGATAAAACTATCATATATTCCGCAAAACGTGTTGGAAGACTTTTTTGAAATTCAAAAACATCCATTACTAATTACTTGTCATCTAATTTATGATTAGAAAAAAAAAGGCATTATTATTATTTATTTTAAATTGTGGAATGCAAAACGTTGATGCTGCTTGATTCAAAACAAATTCAAATTTGACATTTATCGACTTTATACATGTAAATGTCAACAAAAGTGTTGGCAACAGTGATACTCAGGGGTCTGCACAAATTTAAACGAATACCAAAATTAAAAATGATAGCTTCGATTAATAAGGATGAGTTCACATGATTAAAATTATATTTTACAAATCTAAGTTGTACAAGTTTCTTTCTAATAGCAGCTATTTCATGTGTTTTTAGCAACTTCAATATTAAAAGCAGCCTTAAGAAGTCTATTACTAATTTTATTTTTAATAACAAGGATAAAATTTGCAATACATATTCAAGTTTTCCAATGAGATTTTTATTTTAGATAAATTTTTATCACATCATTTTCAATACAAACAATACACAGATTCTACAAAATAAATAAATTAAGTGATAAAAAACAATAAACCAATAAAAAATGTTTCGAAGTTTTGAAGTAGGTATCAAATAAGTTTACCAACTTTTTCGAAATTCGGTGGCTTGTTCATTAAAAGGTATATTAAGTTTTTTCACTTTATCTCTAGATCTCCAAATCTAAAATGCATTTTTTTCTTATTATAGTTTTTATATGTTTTTCTATTTGTAATTTTAATACTTTGATTGAGTGATCGTCACTAGTCGTAACTAACATTTCAGGATCTTTTGGATTGAAAGCAACTGAGTTCACTACATCCAAATGTCTATACTTTGCGAGGCAGATCCCATAAAATCTATCCCATATGTAGGCATGTTTGTCTTCGGCACCACTAATAAATTTATAAATTTTTGTTAATTCATAAATTTATAAATTTTGTTAATTTACCTTGCTACATAATCATCCGAAACATTCAAAAATATAAAAAAACATTCTGTATTTGGAGTATAAGCTTTATGTGACCTTAAAATGTATTCCAATGGCTTCAAAGTTCTTAGGTCAATAACATGTATTTCAATTTCTTGAGCTATGGGAGGTGGTTCCAGTGGATTTGTTATAACATAATTTTCTGGCCAAGGTCGAGAATTCACATATAAAAATCTAAAAGAGTATTTAAAACAATTAGCTTCTAAAATTAGTATTATACACCACATCGTTATGAATGTTATACACTATAAATTTTTTTTTTACCTATGATCGGGACTAAGTGCCATACCAATTATATGTCCGTGTAGATCTATAGTTTTGTCAATTTTGTCAAAATGATTTGTTACTGAATCAGAATTTCTCAAATTAGGTACGTTTATTTCATTCTAAAAAGAAAACCGTACTGAACGTTTATTTGAAAAAAAATGTTCAGGCAATATTACATGTTCCAGATCCCATACAGCACTCCCACTCCCTTCAAACTGTTGCTCTTCTTTTAAAGATGATTCAAAATCGGAGTTATTAGCGAATTCTATGTTTTCAACACGCTTTATACCTATTTCATGTGGTAAGCATGTTTTTGAACCAGTAAAAAATATTAAATACTTGGGCACAGAATTTTCCAAATCCTCATCAACTTTCAAATCAATTGACTGCATATTCAACTTACTAGATTTTTTACAATCATTGCTAAATTTATTAATGAAGCTATGTTCAATATTTTGTGCTGTTCGGTAATCTTTACACCTTTTTCTATGTTCAAGTAAATTTTCCGATAATTCGGAACGGTGTAGATTCTCCGAAAGAAAAGGATTACCATTAGTTTCTATATTACGAATCAATAATTTTTGTTGCGCTTCAGAAGAATCGTTAGTTTTCAGTGGATTGTTTGAACGATTTATCCAAGGACAATTGGCAACTATAATTGCCCGAATAGAGCTTGCATTTCGATTATAAAACTTATACATTTGCGTCGTGGCAACTCTATGTTCTGAAGAATCTTGATTAGTTCTATTCAACCATACAAATGATTTGTTTATTAGATAGTTAGGCCAATTGAAATCGCCCGAAAGTAGTTGATAGTCATTAAACCATGTCCCAAAAACGTCATATGGACGATTTGATACCCTACAAAGTAATGATGACCAATCTAAAAGTTAATTTCAAAAGAACATTTGAATAAATTTAAAACTAAGATATGTACGTATCTATATACACTTACTTTCTTTAATAGAGAAAACCGCAATCTCACCCTGTGTACTATCAGAGTTAAAAAGAATACCCGAAACTAAAAGTAAAGTATCTGTTTTATTAAACTGCGAATATTGTGTGCATTTCCATGTATATTTTTTCATACTATGTACATTTTTTACGGAACAGGGGTACGACGAATTCCATATCTAAAAATGGGAAAAATGTTACAAATTACTTAAATTATGTTGAATTCTTACAATAACATTTGAGTCTTTCGAGCATGTTGCGAACATTTCTCCATTATGAGAAAAGCTAACATGTAAAACTTGATGAGAATGTTGTTCAAGGACTTCTGTAAGAATCATAGGTACATTTATAGAGAGACGTTTATATTCCGAACCCCAAGAATTTGCTCCTGGAAGAATGTTAAAAAATTTTTACAACGATAGTTCCATATTATACATAATCAAAATTGAATTTTTGAAACAATTGAATTATTACCTGGTTTCAATTCAAGGTTGTTAGATATTTTGAAATCTCTGCGAAATAATTTTCTCCACAAAAAATCATCTTTACAAATTTTATAATATCTTTTACATGTTGATCCGAAAGCCAAAATATCCTTAGTACTTAAATAAAGCAAGATTTTCAAAAATACCTCTTCTGGTATTGTTTCCCACAATCCATAGTCACATTTTACTTCCTTTGGCATCTTCAACAGCAAAATAAACAAATTACAACTCTTTTGATTTTGTGTATTTACAAAAATTGTTTTGAGTTTTTTTTGACAATGACAGCTAAATGATCAGCTGACAAATTTTGACATACATAGATTTTTACGCATAAGTCGGTTCAATAAACTTAGTTTTCAATCAATTTTAATTGAGGTTTTATTTTATTCTTAAAAGTCAATTCTAATTTCTAGGCAACAGTAGATCTTTTTCTTTAGAGCGCCTTGAAATATTTTTAATTTAAACTTGTTTTATTACGAGATAACAGAAACGTTACATGATCTTAAAACGAATACCATTCCTCTGATGGTGCAAGCAGTAAAATATAATTTTAAAAATATTCTATTATTTTGAATAAGCAATATTTTAAATGAGTACTCCGAACTACTACATACGGAAACTACGTACATATTTTCTGTAAAAATTCTATCATACAGAAATGAATTTTAATACAACTCCTGTCTTTCATATGAAAATATAAAACAATCTACCGGGATAATATGTACCGGTTCCGGTTCCTTGGGAGTGTAAAATTAGTCTATTTAGACTCTATCTAAACTCTAGAGAGAAATCACCGATAAGAAGTACAGTCTACAAATATGCAAGATACTCCTAGAAAAGTTTCTATGAAAAAATATTAATATTTAGCAACCTAAAATTTTTTACACATAGATAGATAGTTTTTGTTTGCTTTTATTTTCCCTTACTTTTGTTGAAATTTCATGAAAAATTTTTTGATTATCTTTTATCTATGTGTATCATTTATTTGTTTGCATTCAAATGGGAACCAATAAGAAGCCTAAAAATATGCAAGACAATATCTTTTTTTACTCAAAATGTATGTACTTATGTGAGATAAAACAAAACAGATTAAAGCAATAGATGTAATAAAATTTCAATTTATAGCCAGTTACAAGATAAGGTGGCAAAAAATAATCAATTATCCATATCTTGTGTGTGATATTATCAAATTGCAAGCATTCCATAGAATGTTATTAATGAATTACAAACAACGAGCAATATTTCTAGGTCCATATTATTTTATATTGGAGGAATACACAAAAATGAAGATGCTAAGTGCATTATACTTATATAATATCTTACTTCCTATAAAATATTTTCTTATTTAATTAACCGAACGCTTCTAATATTATTTTCGATGCATTTAATTAAAAAGTGATTTAAAAAATGAAAAAAATAACAAAAGTTGCTTCTAAGGTCAATTAAAATATGTTTACAAACCTTTTCCATTGAATTTCTTTTACCTGTGTATATGTTATGAATGAATCTGTATGTATGTAAAAAATATAGAGGCAAATTTTAGTTTTTTTTTAACTTTAGCTTGCGAGGTACACAATAGCAGCAAAATTGAAAAGAAAAAATATGAGAAAAAATTTAAGGTTTTTAATTCAAGATTTTTTTTTTCTAATTTAATGTTGATTAAAGTTATATTGGATTTTTAGTTTCTTTTAAACCTCTAAACATTACAAATCTTTTCTTACTCTGGTAATTTTTTTTCTTTTTATTTTATTAAAATAATAGTATAAAATATTTTGTTCAGTGTAACGGAAATAATATTATTTTTTTTTTTGTGTATCATTCAAAATACCGTTAATGATGAAAAGTAAAAATTATATTATTAAAAATAATTACAATTAAAAATTATTTTACGAATTTCTAGGGAGCAGAAATTAAAAATCATGTACAATAATTCAGAAAATTTAAAAAAGAAATTGTGTGTTTAGGCAAGTTAGAAGAAAACAAAATGGTGAAATAAAGAATTGCCATTAAATTAAATTTCATTTGTTTGGATCTTAATTATTTGAAATTTAAATTTGCATAAAAAAGAAAATGTTATTATTTTCTTATTCTTTTTTAATATTTTTAATATAAAAATAGAATCAAAACTTGATTGCCATTTTAGAGTGTAGAGGTGTAAATTTCCCTATATAGGTGATTTATAAATTTAAAGTGTTTTAACACAATCTAATCATAATTTCTAAAATCTTAAAACTTATTGAATATTTTCAATGAATCATATACAAAATGATATCACACACAAATTTTTTGACAATTAATTTATTTAAATAGGAAACAGATAAGTTGAAATTTATATAACAGTTTTCAATAATATCCACATACGCCTAAAAGATGCAGTAAAGGGAAAACTTGTAACTATAACACAAGTGTTTTTTTTTATATCAACTTTAAATTGATAACCCAAATTTTCATATTGAAGTAATGAATACTCAACTAAATTCAATTAATATTTTTTAATATTCGATTTTCTACTTTTTCAAAATCTGAAAGTAAAAATTTGTTATTAATGAACACCTATCAAATTATTGCATACTTCAAGGTGACGATTTTCTCGATTTCCAACAAATCTACGTCCGTCTATTTTTATTTCAGTCAGATTTAATTGAAACTCAAATATGTTAGAAAAATGTTAAGCACTTATCTGCACTCTAAATTACTTTAAGCAAAAAATTAAATTAAATAAAACCTTGGAATTATTATAACAAAATTAGAAATTAAAATAATATTAATAAAATTATATAATCAATATATGCTTTCTATATATATACATAAATTATATTTTACCGGAAGCAATTTCTTATATAAAAATCAAAAAAAAAAAAACAATAAATTTTCATGATTTTTTAACCTTAAATTTTGAAAAATGAGCAAATAATATAGTAATAATATGTATAATATGTTAATATGTGTGTATAGTATATATATATAATAAAATCTTAAAATTTGTATGATATATGTATATCTATATGACTTAATATATGTATCTACTCTGTGAATAGAGTTGCGATGTTCTTCTCAACAATAATAATGTAGAACTTGACCACCAAGTTCAAGGTTAATATCTTTTATAACATCTTGAATAATATGATATATCTATAGATAAACACACAAACATTAGAAATTATTCAATATAAATTATATAACAATAAATAGAAAGAAATTATTATTTGAAAGCTTAATCTTAACTTTGGATAACTTTGCTATTGTGTAATATATACTATGTAGTCTTGTGGCTTTAAAAAAAGATTAAAAATTTAATGCTCAAAATCTTTTGTTTTGTATTACACATATATATAATATCAAAGATTACACATACAACGTATATAACATAATATATAACATAATAATACTTAATTTCATAGTTTTCATATTCGTTATCAAATTTATTCTCAATTAACAAAGCGATATAAAATTTTTTTATCATAAATTTTATGGAGTTATTATTTGTTCTATCTTATAAAACTTACATATTTTATAATTAAAAAAAAAAATTTATTACATATTTATCTCCCATTTTGTTTAAATCTGTAATACATCCATCGTGGAAGTTGTATAACTTTTTTTAAAAATTATGGTTTAAAAACGCTATATAAATGCTAAATCATATATTAAATACCATTAACTAAAGTTAAAATTTGTACAAAGAGATTTTCATAAACGCAATAATGCAATAGAATAAGAGCAAAACACAATACTGCAGAAAGCATAACATGATTAACAGTTTATAATTTTATATGATTTTAATTACGCTAAATGCTAATTTTGCTATATTGCGAGAAATGTTTATGAACAAATTACGTTAACAACATTTGTTTATTCATACAAATAGGTATAACTCAGTTTTCTCTATGTATCTACGCTATGCGTTAATGAATGGATCTATTAACTTAAGAGTAGTGCAATGTTGTTTTCAAATAAAACTTGCATTATAGCTAAATATTATTACAATTTCATTCGCAATTGATGCTCACCTTTATTGTAATACACAGAATACAAGAAATCAATTTTATAAAATATTTAATATGACGGAATCATTCAATTTTCCCCTTGAATTCTAGTATCGTAATATTTACTAGTTTCTTCTCTATCCGTCGGTATCTCTTGGCAGCTAATGTGTTAAAATAATATCAATGAGCAAATAGAAAACAAATATAAAAATTCATTTTTTTCATCAAATTCAATGATAAGAGAATGAATTCCTATATCATTACACTTATAATAAAAACGGTGATAAGCAAAGTTTGTTTTGAATATTCTATATTTTTTATATACATATAACAATTATGTGTAAGTATAGTTTATTTTTGTTTTGTTTATAATTTTATAAAATATTCAAAACAAAATAAAAAATATTATTATAAAATTAGTTTAACTTTGTCTCGCAATGCTAAGTGTTCTAAATAAACATTCTCCATACATACAATATTCAAATAAAATAAAAATTTAGTTAATTAAAATTCATAAAAAAAAGCAAGTTAAATTTTTTATTGTTGTCGTGTTAAATGACCGGTCTCCATTGGTAATCTATTGTTATAAAGATCTATTGTGATTTTTATCGCAAATTAATTATTTTTTCTTGGAAATAATAAAATCGTTTCTTTAATTTCGCCTTAGATATTAAAATTTTATAAGTTATTAGCCTTGTTAGAATTAAAATGATTGACAATATATTTGAAAAATTAGAATTTCCAAAATTAAAATAAGAAAATTGATCAGTTTTAAATAAAATATTAAATTATCTGTGATTTGGGATACACATTACATAGTGCGTATTGGAATCAAATACAAGTTATAAAATTGGTGATTTCTGGCTTAAAATTTGAGTAATTATTTAATATTTACATAATTCAGTAATATTGTACATAATTCAAAATAGTAATAAATTTATTGAAAATAATCTTAATCTGTAAAGTTAGAAAATATGATTCGAATATGTAGACCGTAGCTTTTAATTTTATAAATTTTAGAGCAGACATACGAGTATGTGATTAAACTTCAAGCAAATCTAATAGATCGACAATCAATTCATTTATTGCTGAAAATATTAAAGATAAGATAATATTTTAACTTTTATTTATTTAGAAAAGTTTTGTTTATATTTTATTAGCATAAAAAAAATTATTTACTTGAATATTCAAATAAATTAATTTTATCAATTTAAAATCTAATTAGTATTAATTTTCAGTCTATCAAAATATATGATTGAAAGTGTTTAAAGAATTAGAATTAATTTCTAATCCTAAGCTTTATTGAGAGTTTTCATTAATAGCTAATTGTTTTGAATATAATTTAATTAATGTTAAAAAATTTATTTATAATTTAAAATTTTAAATGACGTTCTATAATAAAATTGGAAAACTACAAATTTTTAATATTAAATAAAAATGAAAATTACTTTTTCTATAAAACTGGTCCACCATTTAAATTTGAATTTAGAATTTGACAAGAAATATGGCGAATATTACAGTTTAATGTGATTTATGTTGAATGGACAATGAAATTTAGTAAATTTTTAGTGAGTTACAATACTTTCGGTAATGTACAATGAATAAATCTATTGTCATGCATAATATCAAAATCTTGAAGATAAATTCACAAGCCGAGGAGAATGGCCTATTTTTTAAGAAAGTCTATTTTTTTGTTTTATTAACTATTTGCTTAGTTAATTTTGTATTTTAGAGTATAATTAAATATTTAACTGTACCATTATCGTAACCATTATTAACATTTTATTATTAATACTGTAGATTTTCTCGATTTAATCACATAAAACAAAAATGCCATCTTCAGAAATATCTGCAAATTTAGATTTTGGACCACTAAATGATGAATTAGCTGCTATAGCACAAAGTCAAGGTGAAGATCCAGATAAAGTATGTGCTATAATACAAGAATTTCGTGACATGATATTTGGTAATTATAGAAATTACAACAATGTTTAACATTTATTAAATTTTAATTTATTTTAGAAAAAGGAGATTTTACACCACATAGAACTGATACAGAATTTTTAACAAAATTTTTAAGAGCTAGATATTGGAGAGTTGAAAGTAGTTATAATTTGGTATAAATGAAAATTTTTGTAAAAGAAATTATCGAAATAAAAATTGTCTTTTTTTTTTTTAATTTTCAGTTAAAAAATTATTATAGTTTTCGTCGAGCAAATAAAGAACTTTATGAAAAAGTACATCCATTAGATTTAAAACCAGTTGGTGATGCTGGTATTGTTACAGTTGTTCCATATAAAGATCAATTAGGTCGTCGTATTATAATATATCGTTTCGGTAATTGGATACCATCAAAAATTCCATCAGATGATATTTTTAAAGCAAGTTTATTATTACTTGAAGTTGGTGCATTAGAACCATCTGTTCAAGTATTGGGTGGTGTTGGTATTTTTGATTTATCAAATTTATCATTGAATCATTTATTACATTTAACACCAGCCGTTGCACAAAGAATGTTGGCTTTAGTAATTGTAAGAAAAAATTTTATATTCAAATTCACTTTAACAATATTTAAAATAATTCTTAATATTAAAATTTCTTTCGTCTTTCTTTTTAGACTTCGATGCCAATTAGAACTAATGCATTACATATAGTACATCAAAATTGGGCATTTAATGCTGCATACAGTGTATTTAAACCATTTTTAAATGCTAAAATTAGAGAAAGAATATTTATACATGGAAGTGATATGTCATCATTGCATAAGCATATATTTCCTGAAAATTTACCAAAACGATATGGTGGAATACATGAAGAATATCCATATGTTATGTGGATAGCATTAACTAAAAATGAAAAAATTAAAAATGAATTAGAATCATTAGGATATGTTGTTGATACTAAAGATATAAATTTAGAACAATATTTTACTTAATAGATTTAAATAGAAATAAAGTATATGTATATGCAAAATTTTAAAAATAATTACTTAACTATAATTTGTTTTTTTAATATTTTACATCTCATAATGAATATTTGATTAATAAATCCCTGGAAACAATTCTGATAACATTGTATTGTTAAGTTTTAATAAATAATTTGTTTTATCCTAAATGTATGCAATTTATTTTGTCATATTCTAAAATTTGTAAAAGTTTTCTATTGTATTTACATTTAAAGTGCAATGCATTCAGTTAAATAGTTAAACTTTTTGCTTTTTTTTACATTAAAAGTGATTTATTATCCCCGTATATAAAAACTAGCTACGCATTTTAACAGAAAAAACAAAAAGCTTTTCTTAGAATCTTTTAAATTAAAAAATACTTTCAGAAGTTTTATATCTTATATAACTAATTATGCAAATAATTGAAAACTGTGTCAATATTGAAAATTCTACTATTATGTGTAAGAATTACGAGCATTGTAACTTTGACGTACATATACATTTATATATACATACAATGATTATGGCTTTAAAAAAGAAAACGTAAAAATATTGTAAAAAAAACTCACGCAAATAAAATAAAACTACACTAGTGTTTGAAAATTGAATTGCACACTCTTAATAATTATCTACAATAATTCTTCCCACTAAGTACGAATACAACCTCGAAAACGCTTATCACAATTAGCATATATTATTGTTACCGTTACTGAACTTTCTTTACCGTAAGCTTCCTGCATAGACTTTCCATTTTTAAGTAAAATAAAATTTTATAAAATTGTAATTGCAATAAATGAATGGTGCTCTGCTGTAATAAATTTAATTCAATCTGCTTCAATTAAATCAAATTGAAGTTCGAAATAAATTTAAGCCAAGCTGTACTGTGGTTAATCTAAGATTATATTTTAAATTTAAAATTTATTCATATATTTTTATTACACTCTCTAAAAGTGTTCTTGCATATAAGTAAAAACTTAAAAAAAAAATGCTTGGAATTACCAAACAAAGGTTAATAAAAAATTAGGTTTCCAATTGTGAATTGTATATTTATTATTCGATTAGAAATGTTCTCTGGTATAACAAAATATAATTGTTTGTAAAGCAAAGTTGTTGAGGTCAATTTAAAGAATGTAAATAAATGTCGCTAGTAATGGATTTACGAGAAAATAAAAAAAAACAAATAAAATTAAGAAAAGTTAAAAAAAGCTTTAAGAATAAAATTCTAGTTTAACCAACAAAAAATATTAGTCAAAATATAGAAGTAGAAGCGAAAACTACCAATATTAGCACAAATCAATTAAAAAATATTGTAATTTTTAAATAAAATTAAATAAAAATGTCAATAAATATTGGAAAATTTGAATTTACTGATGAACAAAAAAAAAAAATTGAACATTTAAAAAACCTTGTTAAAGGTTGGAAATAATATTTAAAAAACAAAAAAAAAAATTATTAATATTTTCAAAAATTATTAATAATAATTTAAAATAATTTCAATTCAATATTTTAAGATTCACCGGATTTAAAGATCGGTACAGAAATTGAAATTTTGGGCCGCTATTTATATTGTAATAATTGGAATGTAGATGATGCATTAAAAAATATACACGATTATTATGATTTTAAAAATAAATATCCTGATTGGATTACAAATGATCAGACACCAGATGATTTTGAAGAAATTTATAATTTAAATACAAGAATATTATTACCACATACAGATAAACAAGGAAAATTTATAGTAGTTCATAAGATTGGTGAGTTAAATTTATTAGTATTAACATTGCCTCTTTGATAGTTAATTGATTTGATTTTTCTTGGAATACCTTTTCATTTATTATGGTTACATATTTTGATTATTAAAAATTAAAATTACAATTTCGTTTTCTTTAAATTTAATAAAAGCAAATTGGTAGTTACTCGCATATCACACATTATATACAAATATTATCTGTTAATTTAGCAATAGATTCTTTCTTATATTTAAACAAAATAATTTTGAATTAAAACAGAGATATATTAAATTAAACTTAGAAGAATTTGAAATTTGTTATAAAAATATTCTAATACTACTAATACCATTAATATCGCTTTTACTTTTTAATATTATAAATTCAAATCATTCAAATGTTTACAACAATTAACTTTAAAACTATTAAAATAGTACAAGTTTAGAGCAATTATTAAAAAGCAATATTGGTTCTATATCATAACGTTACAAAGTTTATGTGTTACAAAACGTACATATGTATATAAATGTTAGCGTACGATCATTAATTAATATTCGACCCAATTTTAAAATATATATAATTAAAAAATGCCTATTATTATAAAAAGCTCTTTCATTAAAACTTTTTTTTTTACAATTAAATAGTGGATGCATTCAATGATATTGAAAACTATAATATTAAATTAGTACAACTTGATGATTTAATTTATGAATCTGTACTATCATCACCACGTGGTCAACAGTATGGTATTACAACAATATTGGATACTGAAGGGTACAATAATACTTTTAAATTATAGTAAAATTATATAAAATTAATAATTTAACAATATTGTTTTAGTATAAATCGTAACTATATAAAATACTATACACCAAGTATTGCTACTTTAATTGGAAAAAAATGTGATATAATGCCAATACGATTAGAAGATAAAAGAGCTCATTTTTTAATAAAAAATGCTTTAATTAGTTCACTACTATCACTTATTTTACCATTTCTAGGATGTTTAAAAAAATTGGTAAATATTTTTAAAAATTTTATAATCTTATTTTTATTTTTAGAAATCATTTTTTTATTATTTTAACACAAGAAATTTAATTTAATTCAAGGCAATTTTTCATAAAAGTTCAAATTTAGAAAAATTGAAGGAATATATTGGAAAAGAAAATTTACCATATGAATATGGAGGTTCACAAATGAATAGCTTTGATTCATCATATTTAAAAGAATTTCTACGCGCCAGATATAGTTATGTAAAACAATCTCAAAAATATTACAAAAAAGATACAGATTAAAAAATTTGTGTTTATTAAATAAAAAATAAGAAATGTGCTGTTAGAACAATTTAATATTGAAATTAATTAAACCAAGTAAATTTAGCATTACAAAAATGAAAATAAAATGATGATACGAAAGTGAATAAAATAATCATAAAAACTTAAAATAAAATAAAATAATTTAGATATTAAAAGCAAGTGAATGGAACTATTTTCTATATAATTTTTATATGAGTTGTATAAAATTTAATTTTTTTTTTATAATAAGAACATTTATTATTAAGAATGATTTAATGAGATAAACCTAAAAACCAATTAATAAAGTTCGTAAATAAATAAAAATGGAAAAAGGTTACAAAGTTGGAAATAATGAAATGTTTCTTAATTAATAAAATCTTATATCAAGTTAAAAAGCTCGTCTTGCCTTATTAATATGAAGCAGGCTTGTTCAATGAGATTGCTATTTATTATATAATATTAATTGTTATTACCAAATTTTTTTTTAATTTTTCAATTTTTTTTATTTTATCCCCAATTTATCACATTTGTAGCGAAGAACTTTATACGACTTGATTTTTTTTCAAAATTAAATGTAAAAAAAGAATGCTTATAGGAATATCTAATTGATAGTTTTGTGTGGGTGTAGCAATATAAATTAATCTATAAAATTTTTTTAACAATACAAGTTTGTGAATTAATATTCTTATAAGAAATTTTAGTGATAATTTCAGTTAATAAGCTGAAAACTTTAATTAATAAAATGTTTTTCGTATAAAATCATTTTATGAAACGTATTAAAAGAAATTATATTTTATGATCAATAATTGCTTAGTACAAACATTTAGTATAGCAAAATAAACAAAATCAATGATATCGTACAGTCTGACCTTAAACATCTTCTTACTTACGTTTGTATAAAAAACCGACGAATACAAGTAAATTTAGAGCAACATACGCGTCATTGGCTCATGCATACCAGCTCGGCCTTACAACTCATTTAAAGCAATTACTTAAAAGCAAATTTTAAATCATACAACTTAAAGAAAACTTAAGTTAATAAAATTAGCGGATTATATATAAAAGTTATTAACACATAATTTTTTAAAATTCATTCAAACTTTAATTAATTATTATTAAAAAAAGTTGTTAATATAGTATGTTTTTGATTTGAAAAAATGTATGTTCCTGTTCATGCAAAACTTTGATTTTTCATCTCATTTAAGAAGTTTTTCAGAGAATATGCTTTCTCTTATATGATTTCCACTGTTAGTTCTACCAATTACAGCTTTACGAAATAAAATACGATCTTTTACGTGTTCCGAATTAATTTTAGAAGTCCTTTTAAAATTCTTAATATTTATAGCATCGTTTAAACGTTTCTCTATTTCAGTCATACAAGGGCATTTATTTGTACAATATGAACTCCCAATAGATGTACTACTATCTGAAGAATAAATGTCTAAAACAACAATAGTAAAAGTTAAGTTTAAATACATAATTTATAAAAATAGAGTAATAATACATAAAAACACATTCCATACTTTATCATTTTTCAATTCCAGTGAAATGTGAAATGTGTCCTCTTATATACTACGATTTACTCAAGAATATGAAAATAGTTTAATATTCTAATCAAATGTAAAAATTACCTTCAAAATGTGTTTGTTTAAAATGTTTTTTTGGAAAACTTTGAAATTTTTTACTTGTTTTAGCTAAAATAAAAGAATCTTTTGGAATTTTTCGAAACGAATAACTAGTTTCCATTGATTCAGAATCTGTAGAATCATTATTGTTATTCAACGAAATCAAGCTAAATTGTTGATCTAATAACTGTTGCGTACCAATATTACTTTTGGACTCACCATATTTAAGCTTGGGAATTTTTTTTGAATCATTGTTCAGACTTTTAACGTGCTTTATATATTTCACTTCAGAATCATATTCTTTTTTGATTTCTTTCTTAACTGGATGATTTTCTGCGTAAAGAAGAATTTCTTTTTGATTATTCGGTGAGTTACTTTCCGCTGGTTCTACTTTTATAGTTTGACTAGTAATCAGTTCGTTTTCTATACTCTTGTTTTTTATTTTATTACCAAATCCAGCAATTGTTCTTTCTGGTAGGTTTAATTTTTTATCATTTAAAGACTCATTTTTATTTTGATATTCTTCCGAAATGTTTTCATTATTATTATTTAAGTATTGATATATGGCGCAATTTTGTTGACAAGCAGAAGCAGGGTTTAAATAATTTTCATTGTTCGAAAAATTTATCGAGTTTGTGTATGAATTAGATGAACGCAATTTTGTTCGCCCCATTACAGATAATTGACTTGGTATGTTTTGAATTGTTTTTGTAAGAACTGATTGAACCGCTCGATTGTTTTGACGATTTTTTTGGTCCATTTGATATTTAATTATATCTAATTCTTTAATTTTTGATTCATTTTCATTTGATATTTTTCTAATATCCTGATTCCGTGGACAAGATAATTTATTTACCAAATTAGTGTTGCTAATATGACTTTCAAATTTATCTTTTGAATTTTTTCGCAAATTTTCTCTTACTTTATTTTTGAATGGAATCATTAAATCAATCGAACTTTTTTCCTCTGCATCTCTTTGCACACAATTTGATATTTGTTGGGTTTTCATGTCGCAGCTTCCAAAAAAATTACTACGATTCATATTCCGCAAAAGTTTTAAACTTTCTCTAATATTTTCACTACCAGATAAAATAATTTTACTTAAAAATATTTGACATTCATCCTTCTCTTCATTTGATTTACATCGATTTTTTGTCTCATTCATTAGATTTTTAAATTCATCCACTAAATCTGATATATTTTTTAAAGTTTCAGATAAACTCAAAGTATTTGCAACCTCGTCATATACTATTATATTACTTAAATAATCGGTATCATAACCGTCTAAAATATTTGGATAATTATATTGTAAAATATAACTCGTCCCACTAGCTTCGGCTTCAAAATTGGGTATTGGAAAATGAAAATTTCCTGAATCTTGTGTGTCGACAAAATCTATTTTCTCTTCTGACATTGTTAAAGGAATTGATTGAGATTTATCACATTTTCCATTTTGTAAAATATCATCAAACTCTGATTGATCATTGGATCTTAAATATTTTAAACTTGTGGGACCCTCTATCGGCAGACCGTAAGGTTCAATTTCTTGAATTAAATCTGAAATATTCGCAATTGATTGCAAATCATAAGACGGTTCTATAATCTCATTCGAAAAATTACGCCCGTTTAATGGTTTAATTATTAAATTTTCATTGCTGTCGTTTTTTAGACCACTATCGGTGACGTATACGGACGATTTGTCTTTTTGATATCCTTCCAAAGTTAATTTTACTAATGAACCCTGATGTATCATCCCCTTTTTTGTTTGAAGATGCTGATCGGCATTGATTCCATTTGAGTTGTGTTCCTTAATAACACCGAACTTTAATGAAGTTGAACTCATTATTGTTATATGCTCTAATTTTGAATCAGAAATATTTTGTTTTACATATTCCTTTATTGAGTGAGTTTGTATATTTCCACTACCATTTCGTGATTCAGTTTGTGTCATTACTTGCACAAAAATTTTCGAAGATTTATTATTTTCGTTTGAATTTGAATTGCGACTTTTGTCCATTGAGTAATGAATTGTGTCTACTAAAGAACCCATTTCTTTCCAAAATAGTTCCTGGTATCGTAGCGCATTTTCGTTCACTTCAGAGAAAGACTTACTTATCTGATTTGAATGCGGATCTTTACCTGGATGCATAGATAAAACAATCATACATAAATTTTTAATATTATTTTCAAGTTCAGTAAATTTTTGCATTAAATCTATTTTGCTAAAGGAATTAGAAAATTTTGGAAATTCACTGGTAATTTCCGAATTTGATTCTGAAATATTTAATTTGTTCTCTAAAATGTTAATATCAAACTTTTTGTTGTCTTTTTGAGGATTTATGATGTTGGATACATTATTAACACGACTAATATTACTGATTTCTAGTTCAGAACTATTTCCTTTTGTTGTCATAATTTTGTTTGTCTCACCAAATTGTGAAGAATTTATGACTCGATACGTGGATTTCCTCAATTCAGGAACATTATTAAAATCCATAGATTCTTCTTTATATTTATCAAATTCACTATTTAAAGTATTTTTTGTTGAACGAGTGTTTCGTCTAAAATCTGTTTGAGTCGCTTGATTGCATTTATCATTTCCAGATTGTGAACTTTTATTTAATTTTTTTGAAGATAAAAAATTTAAATCAGCGCTCATATCGAAGCTTGAATGTGTCACATTATCTAAACCATTTTTATTTTTATTATATACGGTATTACTTTTCAATATTTTGTGTGATTCACCCAAACTTTTTGTACATTTCCTATTATTTTTAACACAATTTAAATATCCAGAATTATCTGGTTTACCTAAAGTTATGACCAAACCAGATCCTTCTTGTTGAATATCTTTTAAGTACCCAGTATGCTGATTAGTTGAAAAATTTTTATCTAAATTATTTTCACTTTTATGTAATAAATTTCTATTTAACTGAATCAATTTACTAATGATATCAAATTCAGATAGGGTACATTTGGATTGTGGATACTTATGTTCATTACCATTGCTAAGATTTTGGGTGTCAAATTGCTTTTCTATTTCAACAAGTACCTTCAATGGTTCACCTTCTGAAGAACATTCTTTGTACTCATATATTGAATGTTTTCGTTTTTTATGATCTAAGTTTTTTACCTCTGATAAATCTTTGTTTATTTTAGATTGATTATCGTTTTTATCCAAACTGAGTGAAATTTTTAAACGTTTAAAAATTTCATCTGTTGTTTTTTCAAAATCTGAGTTTTCTAAGAGCTCTTCTTTTTTATTCTTTGAATTCGAGTGATCGTCTTTATTAATAGCTTTCAGATCTTCTTGTTGGCTTTTTAATTGATTTGTTGCAGTATTTAATAAATTATTTAAAGTTTTATTCAAAACTTTATGTGCCTTTTTCTGTTTCCTTTTCTCGTCTAAGCCAGATTTTAGTCGGTTAGTTATATTTTTAATGAAATTTTCTGGGGAATCATCAAGAAATTCGTCTACAAAATAATATTTATTGAAATTTGACAGAAAATTTTTTTGATGAAAACTTTGGTTTTGACTGCGTGACAGCGATTTATCCCAGGTTTCATATAAACACGTATTTAAATTACTTTTCTCTGATGAAGAACGTCGAGCTGTATCGTTACTATCTGATATCAAATTTTTACACGGCATATTGTAATAACTTTTTTCATTTAGATTTAAATTCGGAATTTCCTGCTTTGAATCCATTTGATTATTTTCATATTTATTTATTTTTTCAAAATTTTTTACCCTTTCATTACAAAACCTAATTTTCTTGGAACGCTCTGTTGATGGCTTTGATTTTTCAAATTCCTTAGATTTGTCGGATTTGTCCAATGAGTTTTCGGCTTTTTTATTGTCCCATATATATGTGAGTTCTTTTTGAATTTTATGAATTACCCTTTCACTGGAATAAGAATCATTTGGTTTTGATTTTTCAAGAACTGTTTGTTTTAGTAAAGATGCTTTTGTTGGGCGCTCATATCCTTTTCTGTTAAATTTAGGTGATTCTAAAACAAAAATAAGATGTTTCAAACTATTTTCTGTTAGCTAAAACTTTCAATTAATATTTGCAATTCTTCTCTCAAAGCATAAACATCTAAAGAAACCAATACAAGACTAAATAAAATATTTCATGTCTAATATTAGAAATTGTAAATATCGCTTAATTACTCAATTAGTGCTAAAAGGTTGAACTCTTTTGGGAGACACTTAATTGAAATAATTCCACAGTTTAATTAAATAGAATTGCATAGACGTATAGATACATGTATAAATAGCAACCTTACCATTTTTAGAAGCTTTTGAAGTTTTATTTATTCTCACTTTTTTTGAAATACTTTTATTTCCTTTTTCATTTTTGTCTACAATTAGAAGAAAAAAAATTATGTATATTGAGAAAATTCAAACATTTTAAGGTACCTTTTTCATCATGTGATTCTTTGTTATATTTTTGCTGCAAATTTGAATATTTATTCATTACTAAAATGAAGTTTTTTAATTCATAGCCGTATAATTTTATAAATTTTTGTATAACAAATATGAAAAAAATATAAACTAATTGATTTTTCGATATCTATTAAATTTTGTTTAAATGCAAGTTTTAGAAATTCGTTCGTCTTTGAATTGTGAAAAATAAAAAAGAGTAATATGCTATTTAGTTTAATTGGATCTTGTCAATATTTAAAAAAAAAATATTTGGACATTATTCTATAAATGACATATTGAAAGTCATAAGGTTTACAAACTTTTTTTGTTAAATATAGCTTTTTAAGTTACAGGTGACTCGATTAAAAATTCGAATTATAGATTCTTTATTGAATAAAGTTTTATTTTTGAATATTTAAAATTGAGGCACATTAAATTACAATTTTAATAAATGGACGAAGTGTATTATAGTGTCTTAAAATATTTTTTATCTTACATGCATCGGTAGTGTTTAATACAGTATTTATGAATAAAACTAACATTAAAATCTATTAAAATTACTTAATTCTGAATATATAAGTTTAAAATATTTGTAACTTTAACATACCAAAAATTCATTTAAAACAAATTATTTTTAATAAATAACGATAAAAACTGAGAAAATATAAAATTATATATAATTATCATTATTTGTTTATGACGACGTTAAGTCTCTTGGACTTTCTTCTCTACTTTGTGCTCTTTTAAAACGATCATCCGTTATATTGTTACGTAATTCTTGTACTTGTACTGAATATTCTTTAGCTTGAGCTTCCTTTTGTAGTAATTTTTCCTTTTCCTCCTTTAGTTTTAACTAAAATTTTTAAATGAAATATAATTATATAATCAAAGAAATATTTATTTTATTTTTACTTCAAGATCATCATTTTTGTCTTTTAGCTTCTTAATTTCTTGAGTTAATTTTATTTGAGAACGACGTGTATCATCAAGTTCATCTCTTGTTTTATCCAAAAGCTTTTCAAGTGTATCACTTGCCGCTTGTTGTGATACACCCGCACCACCATTCAATCGGCGTAGTTTTTCATTTTCTTGTTCGAGCTGAAAACAAATAAAAATTGTATATTGTGAATAATATTTTTATTGAAAGAACAACACTTACTTTAGTTCGCATTGCACCCAACTCTTCTAATTCAGCATTTAATTTATCTCTTTGAAGATCTAATTTTTCACATAATTCCTTCATAGCATCTAAATCTACTTTTAATAAATGTTGATCATCATATGCTTGCTCTAATTCTCTTTCTAAACTTGCAACTTGCGCTGATAGTGATGATACCTTTTTTTTTTTAAAAAAAAGTAAACAATAAAAATTTAAAATTAAAGAAGACTCAAATTTCAAAATATGAATACTAAGAACAAATTCGTAAATAAAATATACATATTATATAATTTACCTGTCTCTCCAGCTTTTCTATAACAGCATTCTTTCTAGATATTTCTTTCTTCAATATTTCAATTTCAGCTTCTGCTTCACTTAATTGACGTCTTTAAAAGAATTTTTTGTTTTTAATTTGAATTAATTGATAAAATGAAAAATTATAAATTTAAGAAAGAAGATTAGCTAAGAAACTACAATAAAGATAAAATATATAAATTTTTTAGCAATAAATTAACAAAAGCGAATTCGTCGAACAACGGATGGTTGACAGATGCAAATCCTTGTCGATGATAGATTTATTAGTAAATAAAGTAAATTATTAAAGAAAAAAAAACGAAACAGATAGATTTTAGAATTATTTTTTTGTTTTTCTAGAAATTTCAACTATATAAAATTTGTAAATATTTTGAAAACCCGTACTTTTGATCGGCAGTTTCAATTTCTAAACTTTGATTATTGCCTTCCAAAACAACGGCATCATGTGAAAGACATCTATAATGTTCAAGCATTTCTTCACGTTCTCTTTCCTAAAAAAATCGTATTATTATTTTCTTCTTATTAAATTTTATTAATATTTAAAACAAAAATAAACCTAAATTAAATATTTGAATTTTTTACCTTAGCCATCAATAATTCTTCAGCTTTTTTAACTTCGCTAACATATTGCTGCAATTGCTTCCGTAAACTTTCAACTTCTTTTTCAGATTCTTTTAGTTTTGACTTTGTTGATAGTGTTTCAGCTTTACTATCAGCTAATTCACTTGATAATCGACTATAAATTAAAAAATTTGTTATTTGAAAACTTGTAAATAAAAATTGTATACGAATATTATAGGCAACTTTTAGTAAAGTAAAAAATTTCACCTATTTTCGGCAATGGTTTGTTCCAATGATGCTTTCAATGTTGTTACTTGGGTGCGTAACGATTTACTCTCATATCCAGCCTCATCAAGTTCATTTTCTCGACTTTTCCTTTCAGTTAGTAGTTTCCTGCAATTAAATAAATACAAAGTTTTGTTATTAATGAATTCATGCATTCAAATAACTGAAAACTAAAACATTACACAAACAAATTTAACAAATTTAAGTTAAATACTCTTTAAACCGGCTATTTCCACGCAATTTCAAGCTCCAACACTGCACCTGAACTCAAATTAATTGTCTACAAGTTTCAGATTATAATTATAGTAAATTTATTTTAAATTTCAAGAATTCCAATACAAATTTTGAACAATTAAACTTATTTGTAATTCTTGTGCATCTCAGTGTTAATAGATCATACTGAAGTCAATCAAAACTTTATATTGATTCTTAAACAATATTTTTATTATAATATGGAAAAGTAAACATTATTTTCTAAAGTTGATTTTTGTTTTGGTCCATTAACCTCATATATGTGTATACATGCATGCTTTTATGTGTATATGCTCACATTTATGAAAGTAATTACTGTTTTACTTGTTACTTCATACAATATTTATAAAGAACAAAGTGCTTGGGAATTCCTTGAAATCATTACAAAACAAAAAAAAATATACAAGTCATATTGCAGTATAATAGCAACAATAATAAAATAATGAAAAACAAAAAATAATAATACTCTTTAAACCGGCTATAACCCAGGCTCAAAAACTTACAACAATATTTACAATGTTGTTGAAAACAAAAGAAATAATAAAATTAAGATAAATAAAGGTACTTTATCAAATTCTAAAGTTGACTGCAGTTATATCTAAACCAAGATGAGAACAATATAAAGAAATTTTAGCTAAAAGTAAGTCATAAAAGATGACAGCTATACTTTTTAAGAATATTATTCAAAAATTTTATTTAAACATTGTGTATGCATTTGAATGTAGTGATTGATTACAAAAAAAAAAAATGAAAAATTATTCGTAAATTATATGCATATACACAAATATATAATGTTATATAGTTCTACATATACATTTAATTTATTGTAAGCAGTGAAAATGCATTTCAACTCAATAAACACAATGTTGACGTTACCTGAATTTTTAATTAACCATTTAGGTACCATGGCACAAAGTGAAATATCCAAGAATTTTTTTTTTAAATCACGTACAGAAAATTTTAATATTCTTATATGATATATGTATAAAATTTTACAGATAGACGAAAGAATATATTTTATTCATAAAATTTTAGACAACAGATGATTGACACGAAAAGAATTTTTAGAATAAAATTAAAATACGAAGACAATCAAATCTTAAATTTTTAAGTTGATTTTGTTAATCTATATGAAATTTAATTTATACAAAAACCGTTTACATTTTAATTACATTTTACAGTATTTATTTTCGTTTTGTATCAAAAATTATCTTAAAATAACATTAAGTATTGCAACTATTATACATTATATATGTATATACTCGTATGTAAGTAAAATAGTTATTACATATTTATTGATTTAAAATTCATAATATCCGTGAAAAGTAATTAAAATTAGTCCAACGTACAGAGCATAAATAATTTATTAATTCATAATAATTTATCATGGCATTCATTTATATTTATATCGATTAAATGATTAAGATTTTCTTGAGCATTAAGATGCCTGTTAAAATTTATTCGAAATTTTATCAATAATTTCTAAAAAATTTAAATTTTGTTACAATCGAAAAAAATTTAATCAATTCATCCAGTTCAGTTAAAGGACCATATGTAACCCAGCATTTACACATACAAGTTACTTGCAAGCAAGTTTGTATAATATTAATTGTCAATTAGTTTTTCGAAATGTCAAATTACTTGCTATTATGACGTAGGCGTTTAGCAAGTTAATTTTTGAAAATGTCTTTGAGAAGAAAACAACTAGCAATATATATAATTGTTTATAAATTTTAGAAACCATAAGTTTGCTAAGTTTAATTTTTTCAAAACAAAATTCAAAAATTTTAAATTAAAAAAAAAAAAAAAATCAAAACAACAAATTACTTGCTCAAAATACTGGCAGCAAAATTTTCTTGCAAGTTGAACTGGAAGTAAACAAGCAAGTAGAAATATTTCAATGTGTTAGTAAAATTTTTGTATGTATTGCAACTTTCTTGCAAGTAACTTGTACGTGTAAATGCTGGGTAACACTAACCAAATTGAACTTATAATCAAAATTAAGAATAAATTAATTTATTTATTCTTAGAATACATGTAGTATTGAATTTCCAGAATAATTTCTTAATTTAGAAATTTTTGCTATTTGCAAATATTTTGAAAAATTTAAAAATTTCTGGCATTTTACATATTATATTTGAATGTTTTGCTAGAATTAAATATAAAATTTCTTAAAATCATTGTAAATGCACCTTAAGCTCATTTAATTATTCTTTCTTAAATATACCTACTGTTTTTGCTTATTCCTTCTTAAGCATTGTACTTTTTAAAGTACAAATTTTTAATTTCTGTTTTTCATACTTAATACTCAAAATTTAACACTTCTTTCTTCATACGAAAATCTCTTCATTCAATTTGTTTATTTCTTTTTATATTCAATAATTTATTTTCTCTCTTTTCTATACTATCTTTACAAAATTAAAATTATTATTTGGGAATTTACAGTGAAATCCAAATAAAGTTTATACAAATAAAATTTAATTTAAAATTGAATTTCTAGCTTAGCTTTGAGTATTTACTAATTATATTGGTAATATACCTTTATTTCAAGGGAAGCTACTAAATTCAGTTTTTATTTTTGCCCACTCAATCACTTTTAATTAAGTAATTTGATTTCTGACATTAAATTCTACAAGTTCAACATAATACTTAAAGGAAAGTAAAAATGTTTTACAATTTTTAAAGATCAGATCCCACTTTTAAATTTAAAATTATAATACAAATTTTACTTTTAATATACTCACAACTGCTTAATTTTTACTGTAAGTATTCAATTATTAATTACTCTAATAAATTATAAATTACGAGTATCTACTACTGTTTGCAATGCAACTATTGGTTTTTAACTACAACAAATGCAAAAAAAATAGTAATAAAATTCTTATAAAACAGCTGATCTGAAGAGAGCGCAAAGAGAATTATTATAAAATAATAAACACGAGACAATTTTAAGCAAGTACATTATTCGAGACAAGAGGTATATATAATATTGTTATAATAATAATTGCGTTAACATTAACATGATAGGTAAGTGACAGTAAAATTTAAGGTAGAGGTATAAGAAAAAAAAGAAAAGAAAATAAAACAAATTCAGATGATAAAGTAAATTTCCAAGCCAAACTCAAAATAAAATTCAGTATAAAATAAAATTTACAGTAAAACGGACGTGTTATGTGACGGTCAATGTTTATTTTATTTTAATTAAAAAAAAAATTATATATTAAATAATAATTATATTTGGAAAATTTTTTAAAAATATTATGATGACTTTTTTGGTATAAAATATAATTGAGGTCAATATTGCATTATACTTAAAATAAATATAGAACTATATTTGAGAATGAAGAGAGAAATTTTATTATCCGAATATTCTTGACGCGTTGTTTATGTCACAGTAATTTGTCATTACAAAATTTACACATGTACAAAAGAACAAAACAGTGTACGTTTATATTATTCTGGAATTCTAAAAAGTTAGTTATTTTTTCTTGGTTTTTTTTTTTTTTTGCAAAGAAATTCTTTATTCCACCCGCACATTTAAATACCTTTGTGTTATACCAAGTTTCTTTTACTTGATTTTTAATAGTATACCGTTAAAAGCAATTAAAAAGTGATTGTATTTTTTCGAGATATTTACTTATATATATGCACATGGATTAATTATTGATTATATAGTATTTTTTCAGATTTTATATAAAAATATTTATGAAATATTTATATATGTGAGGAAAAAGAAAATATAATAAATAATTAAAAATATTATTATTGGTAAAGGAATTACCGTTGTGTTATAACAATAACGAACGTTTTATTATTATAGTATCTATATTTGTATACGTGCTTGTAACTCAATCCAACTAATATTTAGAGTATAAATTAAAAAGAAAAATGAATAAAAAAATAATATACATAAATTCGAGTGCAATTTAATATAGTGTAGTACTATATATGGTTCAAACTTCAATTGTAATGAATTAATATATTTATGATTTTATATATAGGTTATTTGAAAACTGAATAAATTAATGAAGATTATGCAATAATACGAGTATTTATACAATTATACGAGTGTTTATAAATAAGGGAATGTAAAGCCTCTAGGCTTAACGTAGGTAGCTATGAAGGATAATAATCAATTTGTTATATAATTGATAGTTATATGTAAAACCCAATATTAATGAAGAGAATAAATAACAATAATCTTCTAAGCACTGCCGGGCAAATTTTCTAAGTTGTGAATAATTAATTCACAGTATATGAGAACATACTCGAAAATTAATTAGCAATTAGATATACACAAGCAATTTTATTATTATTATGCGATCGATATTGCTTGAATTATTGCAGCCACCGCCCCCCCCCCCCCCCTCTTTTCCCTAAAATGTCAGTTTTAGAAATTAATTATGTACAATTATTCTATAATTCAATTTTTTTGATACGTTATAGCTTTAGCCTAGTCTTCAAAATGTAGAACTTAATTTTGAATTGCATTCTTAATAATACGAGATAATAATTTTATTTTTATTTAATGAAATGTGTGTTTATTATGGACACATGCACACGTATTTCTATTACCAATTTAATTAATATTATTATATATATGGTTTTACCCATTTTTCTTTTTTGAAAGTCTCAGACAATATCTTAATGGAATAATAAATTGTCCAAGGTCAAAAAAGGTCAATTGATTTTGAATTCATAATTAATTTGTTTCTTTTTAATAATTTTTATTTAATTTGATTTTTTTTTTGTTTCTAACCTCTATAAAAGTTCTAACCTAATAACAAAACAACATTCAATATTAAAAATATTTTTTTTTTTAGAGTCATTCATTCGAAATATTAACAAAACAAAAATTAAAAAAAAAAGTGATAATTAAATATTAAAACAGATGTGAAAAAATAACAAGCAAAACAAAACAAAAAAAAACACAATAAAAGTAAAAAAAAAAAATGAAATTAACAAGTCTAAAAAATAAAATTGGAATACGAAAATATGACACAAAAAATAAAAATGTAAAAAAATTGGAATAAATATAAGAAAAACACAAAAAAAACCGAATTAAGAAATTCTTCAAATTTTAAAAGCATAGTTAAAAATTACTTTTATTTTTTTTATATACATATATATATATATATATATATATATATATATACAAATTGCATTAAAAAAAAAAATTAATAATGTTCATTTGTTTCTGTTTTTTTTTCTATTCCACCTTCTTACTAACATTTAAATGTGCTTAATTTGAAATATAATTTTATAGCCATTATTAATATTCGGGTTTCTAACTTAAGTCTTTTGTTTCAAACAAAAAAAAAGCACACAAAAAAACCACATATTAAAAGATGTAAAGTTATAATTTTCAGAAAACAAAATAACATTGTATATAAACATATATATATACATATAAAATATAAGAAAAAACCGGTTTCTTTATCAAAAAAAAAAAAAAAAATATTGCAAAAGAAGCGCAATTAATTAACATCGTCGCATCAACACAATTCAACAAAAATATTATTTATAACCGGTACAAATTGAACCTACATACATATTATATTTATATGAATAAAAAAAAATACTTATATACTCGTATACTATAAGAAGAAGAACTTTTAAACAAAACTTAAAAAACAAATAAGAAACGATAAAAATCTAGTAAAAATCTGAGAATAAAAGGGAATAAAAAAAAAATAACAATAGCAAATATAAATAAACTATTAATTACCAAAGGTAAGTTTATGTCATAAATTTTACAATTTTTTAATTTAAACATATTATAATACATATATTGCTTAATGTTAAAAGTCTAAGATTTCTTATTAAAATAAAAAACAAAAACAAATTGCAAAGAATAAGAAATAAGAGAAGTTTGACATTCTTATTTGAACTCTGATAAAAGCTTTTAACCTTGTATTCCAAATTTAATTTTGCAAAACGCTACTCATATACCTCTATGTACAAATATATTTGATGTCTACGTGTATACCTATCAAGTAAATGGTGTCTACGTTATATATGTATGTATGTCTTCAGAAATATTTCTTAACAATCTTAATTGGTACAAACAAAATAACCTTTTATCTATGACAGACATATTTTTTAAAATTTATTATTTTTTTTTTTTAACATTGAAACAAGGAATATAGACAACATTATCATCAATGGCTTGTTATTACCAATATTGAATTTATTATTATTAATTAATAAATTTTTTGACATTCATATACATCACATATGCACTTCTTTTTTTCTCACATAATATCAAGTCAGAAAATGATTAATGATTTTAAAATTAATTTATTATATGAATTGTAATAAAATAAAATATTAAAGACGATTTATTTATCTTTCAACTTTATTGATATTATCGCCCATTATGATAAGAATATTTAATAAATATGTTTCATTCTATATTTGAGAGTATATAACACTTTTGGCGTATAACAATTTCAATGAATTTATCATATACATATATGAATGAGTAGTTGAGATGAAAAGTTAAGCACATTCATTTCGGTAAATGAGCCATTTTATTTCAATATTGAAATTGAAAATAAATTGTTCATTAGTTAATTAAAGTAAGTTTTTATTCTTGATTAAAAGATAAATGGCATTCGATTCAAAACAGCGATCTACGAGTATTTCAAAGTTACTTCCTTATTACTCCGGACGTGTGTCATTATATAAGTATGTTATATATTTTTAAATAGAAAGTAACCAGTGTAAGAGATACTCGTACTTATTTTTTTATTGAAATTAATAATTAATGTATATAATTATTTAATAATATTTAATAACATCTGTAACACTCTGTGAATTTAGGTTAAATGCAAATTTTTGAATACAAAACACTTTGAGGTGTAAACGAACTTTTACAACTTATACTATTAAAAATGTGCAATATTAAACTGATTTCCTATAGCTCGTTAGTATAATTACGATTTTGACTATATATATAAACATAAAAAGTTGCTTTTTAATTATTTTAAATTATTTTTATTATAATAAAATAAAAATTAAAATTTCCATAAACTAAATAGGAATAAATTTATTCATATTCGACTATTGCATTAATTACTTATAATTAAAATTCATAATAAAATATGTAAATTGAACAATTCTGTTGAATAATTTTTTGAGGAATATTACATAGGTTATATATATATATATATATATATATATATATATTGAGGGATATTATATAAGCATATAGCATTTTACTTGTACATGTTGTAGATATCGAAATTAAAATATAACTGTTGGCAATTTTAGTGTTATAAAATATAAGGACATCGTGAAAGAAAAATTTTTAAACAATTCTTTTTAATATTAAAATTTTTGGATTTAATGCAGTAAAAGTGAATAAATCATAAAATTATTTTAATAAAATCTTGAAAAACGCTTAGCCATTTTAATTATGTAAGAACTGTAGAATAGTTCTTTATATACAATAAAATTAAAAATAGGTGTTGTTTCAGTAAAAAATCCGAATTATGAAAAACGAATAACATTTATTATCTACCCAGCTTTTTTCAATGATTAATAGACGAAAATATAGGAATTCTACAAAACTTAATGAGTCATAAATTTTAAATAAAATTAGATATAAGATTTCGAAATTTCTTTATAAAATGTAAAAAATTTAAAAATTTGAATGTTCAAAATGAAATTTCAATTTATTTTCTTAAAATATAGCAGCACAAATTACAATACCAAAGCTTTCATATATAAATTTATCACAATTTTAATTTTAATATTTTTATATTACAAATCTGAATAATCTGATAGCTTTATTAAATATATCGAATTTGATAACAACAAAGGAACGTTTTGTATTTTAATAAAGATTTCAAAACTTAAAGGTACTAGCTATATACATAATGTTAAGTACGCCTACATTTTATCATTCTTTAATATTTTATAGTTTCTTTTCATCACTATGTCCTTTCCTTCCCTTAAAAACAATTCACTATTTTAATAATTCACTCTCAATCTTGATTGTTTCTATCAGCACAACAAAAAACCAAAAGGTAAATATTTTATTTACTTGTTTTTCCTTTTATTTTTTTTATTATACATAAAATATTGATTTTAAGACGTTGTTGATTTTATAGGTAAAAAAAATATTTACTTTTTTATATTATAAACTTGACATCTTTATCAATATAAACAATACTATACAAGTATAATGTTGTAGTGCGTGCGCATATATAAAAGGTATAAAAAGGTATATAAAATGAAGATTAAAGCAGCATAAGAACACAATACACCGGAAGGAAGTTATTTATCATTTTTTAAAAAAAATTCTTTAATGCTTTTATGGTTCTTTTATTTATTATTTTGCAGAATTTTCTATAATAAATTCTACAACTACGTTCCAACTATTTATTTTTTCCAATTAACTTAAGCCAATACCATATTTCAAGATTAAATTATTAAAATAGTGAATATAAAATAAAATGCAAATTTATATTGAATAATTCTAGAAAAAAAAAATTATAAAAAAATAGAAAGCAAAAATCATGTTGATTGCAAATATTTTTGCAAAGTGCAAAAAATTCAATAGTTAAGAGTAGCGAAAAAAAATTCATTTTTTTTTATATTTGAATATTTTACATAATTTTATGTGCACTTTTATTGTATCAATTGTCTTTTGATTTCATAATGCTTTGTTGTTTTTGTTTTTTTTTTTTTTAAACTCCCACTAATCAATGCCAATAGGTTTTTATAGTTATAACCATATTAAATATTTCGATTTTCTTATTTACTATAAGATTTAAGAGTGTTACGATTCGAATGACGTGATACTTGATATTTTTTTTGTTTTTCTTTTTAAAATGAGATAAAATGAAGTAAAGGTTCAATAATAACTTTTAAGAAGTATATAAGTAAATTTATAATAATATTTGAAAAAAAGTTATAGTGTTAATGCAATTGTGCAAATTTTACTCCGATTTATTTGTAAAGTGGTAATTTAATAGGAATTTTTTGTTCTGGATTTGAATAATGTACTGACTTTGTGTGAATATACCCTATACGATTCGCAAAATATCAATCGTATTGTGGTAAATTATAAAACATTTTATTGATTCTTAATGATTTTTATGTAGTGTTAGAGCAATTTTTACGCTATGGAAATGAGTTTAGTCATAATGTGTTAGAAGAGATTATTAATTAATGGAATTAATATCTTCATACGTTTATGAATAATAATTTCTTGAAGGAAATTTAGTCACTATCGTGTGGCTACACAATAACCATTAGTTAATGCATAACGAGTCAACGTCAATGTAATGAACGACGTTTATTTATGGCTTATAAAATATCACACAATATGCAGTGAAAATCTGCAAATTTAACTATAGCCATATGCAATATAAAACCAAAGCATACTTTTCTGTCACCATTTTCAGTTGACAATTCTTAATTACTATAATTTCGTCACCACTTGTTTTTTTTACTACAATTTTAAAAACAGAAACGGCAACACTATATGAAGTAACTTTATAAATATTGACGCTTATGAAAATATCAATACAGATATATACAGATAATAAGTACACGTTCGTATAAAATTCACTTAGGCATAAGAAAAAAAAAACAAAACAATTAAATATTACTTGCGTTTTTTTTCTCTTATTTATGTTATAGCAATATTAAGAATGGCGTAACAGTGTGTACAGTATAAAAGAAAAATAAAAATAAAAATTGATTTAGCATTAAATTGGCTAATAAATTTACCATGGTTCCAGTAATTTTATGTTTGACTAGCTAGAGAAACAAAAAAAAAAAACACGAAAAATCGCAAAGCAATGTCCCAAAGAATGATTGTATCAAAAAATAAAATCGGAGTAAAATGAAATATTTTTTTTTTCTTTAATCATGTCTTCTTAAGTTGATTTCCTCGTTTCTTTTGCTACATATATAGTTTATCTACCCACTTCTTTATAAATTAATATAACGTGTATATAAATTCAAACTGAAAGGTTTGAATGTGAAAGGTTTGGAAATTTTTTTTATTGAAAAGAAAAAATTTTTAATTTTTTATAATTCAAAGCATCAATAATTATAAATTTGAGACAATTACATTCAATTCAATTTTTAAATTGTACAATAATTTGGCCTTAAGACATTTAGCGGTCTTATTTTGATCTATTAACATTTTCTTTCGCTTTTGGAGATCTTAAATGCATCAATCATGCCAATTGAAATTTATGTTAAGTTTATTCGAGTGTCTATTACATATAAAATTTGTTTATTAAGAAATTTTCTAATAATTGATTTTTTAAATATTTTGATTTGGCTGGTTATTTTGACTTGAATTGTTTGAAAAGGTGAACTTTTCACATCGGTATTTACAAAAAAACATTCGAAGTAAACTTTATTAAAAAGTTTTATTTATTTGATTTCTTATTTCAGGTTGCTTATTCAGGTTAGGTTTCTGAAATCCAGTTCGAAAACAAATCAGTTTTGCTTCTTTGAAATTCATTACAGTGTCTAAGTTATCCATTTGTTCTTGGATTGTATTAATTATGAGTTGCATATCATTCTTTATTTTTAAAATTATTAGTATGTTACGATATACTCTTGCGATTTTCAATTAGAACCTAAACACTTATTTAATTACCAAAAAAAATTTCAAGAGTTAAACATAAGATTTTAATATTTTTGAAGCAATTATAAAAATATTAGACATCCTATCCTCTCAGGGTTAAAATATTAAGAATGTT